TATATGCTATACCATATATGTGCTCAGAACACATGCTAACCAAAAGAAGCAAAGTTACAAAGGACTACATTATTATGACTCTATTTGTTTCAGAATAATTGATCAATCCAGACAAAATAGTGGGCTGCCAGGGGCCAGAAAGAGATGAAAGAATTGGGAGTGGAGTTAAAAGGTATAAAGGTTTCTATAATGTTAAAAAAATTCTAACATCAGGCAGTGGTGATGCATACCTTTAATCACAGCACTTGGGAGTTTGAGGACAACCTGGTCTACAAAGTGAGTTCCAGAACAGCCAAGGTTACACAGAGAAACCCTGTCTCAAAAAAAACAAACAAAAATCTAAAACTGACTGATGACAGAAGTCCACTTCTATGGATATCTTGAAAGCCACTGAACTGTACACTTTTTATTTTGGTTATCTTAGCATCTCAACACTATAGCTCAGGCTAGTATCAAACTCTTGGCAATCTTCTTGTCTCAGCCTCCCAAATGATGGGATTATAAGTATAAGTGATCACACTCAGAAAATTGTGTATAAGTTTCATAACAATAGAACTGTGAAACAGCCTGGAGGTGGTGGTGCACACCTTTAATTCTAGCACTAGGGAGGCAGAGGCAGGCGGATCTCTGTGAGTTCGAGACCAGCCTGTTCTACAAGAGCTAGTTCCAGGACAGCCTCCAAAGCCACAGAGAAACCCTGTCTCAAAAAACAAACAAACAAACAAAAAACAAAACTGTGAAACAAACACAAAACCACCAAAGAACCTATAGCACCTACCAAGAAGAAAGAAGTTCAACAGTTGCTGAAACATCATAGCACATCTTCTAAAAGGTAACATCCACAGAGCCAAGAGTCCCACATAAAAGTCCATGAAGAGCAGAAGAGTATAAAACAGGAAATTAAAGGCAAGATTACAACTTTCTTCAGAGCAGTGAGTCCATCCACCCTTCTCACCACTACATTTTTCATAGGTAGAGAAATCAAGATCCAAGTCAAGTGTGATGGTGCATACCTTTAATTCTAGTACTTGGGAGGCAGAGGCAGGCAGAGCTCTGAGACAGCTCGGTATACAGAATGAGTTCCAGGCCAGCAGGGCTACCCAGAGAAACCCTGTCTAGAAAAAAAAGAGAAAGAATGAAAGACCTTGAAAAGGGAACTGCCCAAAAAACACACAAACTTTTAGTATAGACATAGGACTCAAATCCATGTTGTCAGGTCAGAGACCATATGCTGCTACCTTACCAGCCAACCACCCAATTTCAGACAGGCAAGCTTCTAAATGCCAAGAGATGGGTACTATGGGTGGGCAAAGCCTCTTGGGAAAAAAACAAAATGGTCCTGAAGCAAATTATTCATCCTGAGCAAAAAGAACCAGCCAAGGTGGACAAGGCTATATTCGAACAACCTTCATGAAATTTTGCCCTAAAATGAGAGTTCTACAATCATAAAACCAGTTCAACGATCAACACTAGAGTTTGAACTCAAGCCTGCCCAGTTCTAAACCCCAAATTCTTTTCACATACAACTGTGAAACTTGATAGCTGGCAACAACACTGCCACCCATCATTCTTAAACCTCATACCAAGGCCTGCCCATCAAACCTCTATGGCTGGGAAAAAAGCAAGAAGGAAAGAGAAGGAATCCAGCTCGTCTTCAAAAAACAACACTATTCACTATCAACTTCAGATACAAGGGGCTTTGAAATCCTTAAAACTCCAAAGCTAACTGTCAACTCATCAGCACATGAGCAAGAGAGTAAGGAAACTGAAGAGAACAGAAGCAGAAACTATACTAGTTCACCCTGCAAAATTTGACAGACTGAGAGGTAGAATCCAGACCCACTGATGGCACTGCTAAGCCTAGCATCTTTCACTATCTCAGCATGTATGCCCCTTTCTCCAAGATCTCAGTGAGGTCTCCTAGCTCTAAATGCTTACAAGCCATTATTTTCAGTGGACAGGCTCTCAGCAAGGTGACCATGCCTGGAAAAGGAACCCTCTCATATCATCTCCCCAGCACCCTGACATACCTAGAGAATCCTAACAGTACATATTCACAGAGTTGGAATCAGACTTACAATTCAGACTAATCATCATCCCCTTCTGTCAGTATCAAACTAGTTGCTAGGTTATTTGTAAACATCTTCAGCAAGTTGTGGACCAAGAGTAGGGTAGCAGAACCAATCTCTCCTTTTTTTCTTTTTTGGTTTTTGAGACAGGGTTTCTCTGTATTGTTTTGGAGGCTGTCCTGGAACTTGCTTTTTATACCAGACTGGCCTCCAACTCAGAGATTCCCTGCTTCTGCCTCCTGAGTGCTGGGATTAAAGGCGTGCGCCACCAATATCCAGTTCAATCTCTCTTCTTCTCATCCCCCAAAGGCTCAAAGTTGGGCCAGAGTAGGCAGGGAGAAAAGGATCAATCAGTTCTATCTTCCCTTTGTACCCACAGAAGAACAGAGTTTCTTCCTTGTTATGCGGAAGAACAGGTTTCATGAGTCCATTAGATCTTACTTCCAAGTTCTCATGAGGACAAATATAAAGGCAGAACTGCAAGAGGGTCTAAGAATGTGGCCTTTTGCATTTCCATGAACAACATACCTTCTCTGTCCCTGGAACAAGGAAGGTATAGCTCTCTAAGGGGCAAAGAGAGTTTACAAGAACCAGGGATTCGTAACTCCTGGACTTGACATCTGAGTCCAGAGGATTTGATCTGTCAGAAATGATAGGAAAGGAAGAACAGTAGATTTGAGACCACACTCTGCCTCCTGTAAAATAGAAAGAAAACGAGACAAACGGAAATGTTCAGGACCCTGGAAGTGGGAAGCAACAACTAAAATCAGAATCTCTACCACTTTAAGGGATGCCTCAGGCTTCTGGTCCCAGGGTCTGACAACCTTCTTGGCTCTGACCTGAGGGTAAGGAACTGTTATTACAAGAACACCCAGGTCCCTCTGTCCAAAGGAAGCCGCCTCTGGCCATACTGATGATGACTTCATGTCCTCTCCCTGGTGAGAAAGAATCACCTGGTATGTTGGGAGGGGAGCTACATGCCTAAGCAAGGACTCAGGCCTCACTCCCCAAGGCAAAGAAAAGAAACTCTTGTCCTTGAGGGCAATGTTTCAGAGGTCAATGTTTCAGGCAAAAGATGACCAAACTATTTTCCTTAGAATCGTTACCCTGCCCATGTCCCTGAGCCCGAGTTCCCTGCAAAGATAATCTTATGTTCCTAAAAGACTCCTATGAAGAACATACTTACATTGTCTTAAGTGACAGCCCCAAAAGACTCAAGTCTCAGACCTTAAGGTGCAGAAAAATCCCTCAAACAACTATCATGTTAAAAGCGCCTGGAAAGAAACTAGAACCCTGTTCTTCAGGGACCTTATAATCATATCCCAAAGAAAAGTGTCACAACTCTGTCCTATCCCCGAAGAGCATCTCAAGTTCCCCGAGGAGGAACTTCAGACATTACTTCTAGAAAGTCTTTAGAAGCATATATGGGGTTCTTATTCCTAAGGAAAACCTTATGCCCTTCACAGAAAAGTGTGTCAGGCCCTTGAAGGCAGGTTTAGAAGGAGACCTCTGACATCACCTCTGGGTCTCCATACTGCCCATGGCCTGAGGCTGGAGTTCCAAGGTAGGGATTGGACAGGGCCCATAGTTTCGTGCTAGACTCTGGGACCTCATCTGCAAAGTCAGTAGGTGGGAGTTCTCCAGGAGAGATGGAGCTCTTCCTGAGGGAAGTCTCAGGGTTTTTTCCAAGGAACTTAAATCTGTGTTTAGTGACTTGAGAGTTCTTTTCCTGTGAGATTAACAACTCAGCCCCTGGGGAATCAGAGAAGTCTTTAGATGCAGTAAAGGAGAAAAACGGGCTGTTGAATACCCGAAGTGCATTTCAATCAGTAAGACATATATCCTTATGTGAAACCCCAAGAGCATAGACTCCAGTCTGTGAATGAAAGTGTGTCCTGAAGAACTCTTCCTGCCTGGGGCATCTTTATGTGCCGTACACCTGAAGAGGCCACGGGCCGGAAGAAAACTCCAGTCCATAAGCAAAGAGGTCTTTACACCAACATCAACTGTGATCCAAAGTTCTGAGTCTCATTCATTTGAAGAAAAGCTCAGTTCCCCAGGTGAATGGTAGGGGTGGAGGCAAAGAGCCCATCTCTGAGAAGAAACCCGGGGGACCCTGGTCTCCAAGGATGCAGGTCTCAGTCCACTGATAGAAAGCACAAACCAACGTCACTCACAAAGGATATGAGACAGGCAGTCTCTGGTTCTAGGTAGTGGTTTTGGACTTTGTCTTCAAGCGTTAGAGAAGTTTATCTTCCAGAAAGAAGTTTCACATCAATGGAGGGATGCTTTGGAAATCACTATCTACAGTTATGTGGGTTTACTCTAAACCCTAAATTCTCCAAGGAGGTCTAGGTCCTGGAATTGAGGCTTAGGACTCCTGAGGAGGTCCCAGGCATGGCTGGTTAACAGACCTGTCAACTCTCCAAAGGAAAAGAGGGTCCTTCCTACACGAAGAATGTCAGGTTTAGGTTTCTTGGGTACACCTAGACCCTATCTCTGGGAACACTACCTTATCCGAGGTCTTTGGAGAGGAAATAAAACTTGTCTTAAATAAGAGGCGCTCTTAAGTCACTGAAGCAAAGTCCCTTAGTGAGACATGAGATCCTCCTCTCAGGAAGGAGTCCACCCTACCTGTGACTCCTGGAGACTTCCCACCACCAGTCATGCAGATGAGACCCCAAGACCAGGCCTGACAACTATGTGCTGCAAAAGAGCGCCCAGATTTCATCTTGAAGTATGTTAGCCTGCTTAGGACCCCTAATACCAAGTCCTTGCTTGGGGGAAATGGGGTTTCATCATCCCTTCACCACCAGAGAAGAGACTCAGGCCCAGCAACAAGACCTGGGTTTCTTGGATCACTCTGAAACATTTCCTTGGGTCCCTTCTGAGTCTGGTGGACTCATGTGCTGTTATCTGGCAGCCCCTTACCTGCTCTACGGTGGCAGGATCCATGGCCTCGATTCGTGCTGCAGCAGCTTCATATTCGTCTTCACTGTTGTAGCCTGCTCCGACCTCTTCACGCTCCGGACTGCCCCCGCCAACTGCGCCAACGCCGGGAGCTTGACGCCGCCGCTTGCTGTGGCCTGGCCCCGAGCAGCAGCCGCCCACGCCCACGGCACCACCCACGCCCACCACCACCCCTGCCGCGCCCACCCCCGCAGTTGCCGCACCAAGAGCGTCACCAGGACCGCCGCCGGGGCCACCGGGGCCCCCACAAGGAGGTGGAGAAGCCTGCTGTGGCCGAGGACCCGCCACTGCGCCAGGCGGCACGGCTAGTGCCCAACGATGAAGAGCACCCGGCGGCCCCGGTAGCGGGCCCTGAGGTGGTGGTGAAGCCCGGGGACGGGACCCCACGACGCCGGAGTCACGGTCGCGCTCTCCTCCACCCACTCCCGTGCCGCCGCCGCCCACGCCCACACCCCCACCGCGCCGAGGCGCTGGGGGCAGCGGCCCGGGCGGCGGCGGTTCGTTGGCCGGGTCAGCGTCGGGAGGTGGCGGCTTCTTTTTGGGGAGAATAGTCATGGCGGCACAGCCAAGTACCCCACAGCAAAGCAGACGCGGAGAACGCCGGGAGAGAACCCGGATGAGGGGGCTACTGTTGTGCGCGAAGCACGATGGGAGAAGCAAGGCCTGGATAAAGGGATCAGGACACCGGTTCGAGAACAGTAGGCAGGACGCAGGTCACGCCCGGAGGAGATCCCGGATGTGAAGTCCAATAGGATGGTACAAAGACGAATTTGGCGTCGCCTTTTCTCCCTCCAAGTCCAGTCAAGCTGATTGCTACCTTGTTCCGGGATTCGGCTTCAGAGGAAACACAACCAAAACAAGCACCTCTTCGCCCCGCCCCTTCACAGGTTCTTGAACTACCGGGTGGGGCCTCCTGGGCTGTGCGCACGCGCAACAGGACACAGCCCGCCCTCTTGTTCGGAAGTACGTGGGCAAAATCGTCGCTGCGGTCACAATTTCAAATACCAACCAATTGAAGAAGCTGCGTAAAGCCTTGACAACACCCACGAACCAATCACGGAGGAGCGCTCGCTCTCTCGTGTCCTCCGTCTCAAATTTCAAAGTCTGCAGCCGTGTTCCCAGCAGAAAAACTTCGGTTCTGCCCAGTTCCCTACTTTCCCCAAGGTTCTAGCCTACAGACATCGGTACTTTGAAGAAACAGAGCGGTCTGCCTCGCGAACAACACAACTCGTCTCCTCAAGGATTCCATCTGGACTCAGACTCACTGGAAAATATCAACATTCCCAGAGCGTCATAGACTCCGTGGCGACGTCACTTCCGGTTCCACCTCTCCGCAAGCCCGAAAAGGCGGGCCCTGCTTCACCCTGGCAACAAACGTAATCTTGCAGTGATTGGCTCCACGATGCTGTCCATCACTTCAGATGGGCCAACCGCTAGACAGAAATGCATCGTTTGGCCGGTTGTGTTTGGCGGAAAGACACGCCTACTCTGTCACCTCCGCCCTCTTACCCTCAGGTTAACCTCTTCAAGCCTAAGGCTATTGCGCAGGCGCGGTAGAACCTTTATCACCACCTCCACCACCACCTCCCCCATCCCTTAGTTTACTCAGGAATGAAAATGTTTACGAACCAACACTGTCAGTAGCCAGCGTCTCCCAGTGCTGTTGGCAAAAGCCTTGATATTGAGCAGCCAAGACGCTACTAGCTTGACCCTTAATGTTTGAGTTTGGAGCAAGTTAGCTAACTAATCTACCTAATTCTCTGTAAAATAACAATCGCTTCTATGTGTTAGGAATTAATGCCAAGTCGGGCGGTGGTGGCGGACGCCTTTAATCAGGAGGCAGAGGCAGGCGTATCTCTGTGAGTTCGAGGCTAGCCTGGTGTAAGAGCTAGTTCCAGGACAACCTCCAAAGCCAAAGAGAAACCCTGTCTCAAAAGAATTAGGGTTATCGTTGCTCTGGAGGCTAAGGCAGGACAATTAAGAGCTCAAAGCCAGGGTCTGGAGAGACAACTCAGTGCTTAAGAGCATTTGCTCTTCCAGAGGACCCAGGTTCAATTTCCAGCACCCACGTGGTGGCTCACAACCATCTGTAACTCTAGTCCCAGGGATCTGACAAACTCGTTTGGCCTCATCCTGCTCTAGGCATGCCTGTGATGAAAACACATACATGTAGACAAAAGCCTGTACACATGAAATAATTTTAAAGAGAGAGGTGGGCGGTGGTGGTGCATGCCTTTAATCCCGGCACTCGGGATGCAGAAGCAGGCGGGTCTCTGGAAGTTCGAGACCAGCCTGGTCTACAAGAGCTAGTTCCAGGACAGCCTCTGAAGCCGGAAGCCCAAAGCCACAGAGAAACCCTGCCCCACAGAGAGAGAGACAGAGAGAGAGAGAAAGAGAGAGAGAGAGAGAGAGAGAGAGAGAGAGAGAGAGACAGAGACAGAGACAGAGAGAGACAGAGAGAGACAGAGAGAGACAGAGAGAGAGACAGAGAGAGACAGAGAGAGAGAGAGAGGAGAGAGAGAGAGAGAAGAGAGAGGAGAGTTCAAGGCTACATGGTCACCCTGTTTCCAACAAAAGATATTGGGGGGGGGGCAGAAAGACCACCTAACCTCCTCCCTTCAGATGCTAACCTTAACAGAAGTTTTCCCCTGAAAGGCATCAGTAATACATGGGTACATATGGGTCCTACTGGTATTTTCTGTTCCTGAGACTTCCCAGGAGGGGACAACTAAATATCTGCTGGGACTTCTGTGTTCAGGGATCTCTGCCAAATGCTGGCAAACATTATACTGACTCCTCTTGTGGTTGTGTCAGACCCATATCCCATTCCCTACAGGACATCTGCTTAGCACTACCCACCTAACTAAACCCATAGTATTCATGAGTAGCCTTCACCCAATACTTAACTACGTACCCGGCACTGTAGGAATGGTTTTCATGTTTCCTTTAATAGGAAAAAGCACACCCAGTCCGTCATTGCCTAACCCAGAGATCTAAGAGTCACACCGGACAGCTTCCTCTACTCCAGTCCCCACTTGCCTGTCAGTTCCAAGTCCACTTCATTCTATCTCTGCAATTTCATGACTTTCCAATTCTACTGCTGTCACTCCAGGCACACTAGCATCTCCTACCAAATGGACTACCACAAAAGCCCTTGACTGATCCTCCTTCACCCAAGACTTTCCATAACTTAGTCCCTATAGCCAAAATTATCCTTCCGAAATGCCAATTTAATGACTTGCCTGTTTCTGAGGCTTCAGTGGTCTCCCCCTTATACAAGGCCCCCTTATGCAAGGCCTTTTGTAACCTGCTCTACTTCCCTTCCTTCAGCCTTACACCCTCATTTCCAGCTAGACTGAAGTACTTTCAGTTCCCCAAAGGCCTTGAGCTCGCTCTCTGACCTCCAGATCATTTTACACACTGTGCCCTCCACCCACATTTTCAGCCTTTCATATTTTGCCTAACTCCAACTTCTTGTATACATATGACTCTCTGTATGCTAGCCAGTTTAGGTTACCTTGCCATCCATGTTTCCATAATTCATCGTTCTTAGTTCCAGCACCCTGTATTGCAATTGCTTGTCTGCCTTCCATGCTCAACTCTGTACATGAGATAAAATAATGCCACTTTGCCCAGCATTGTACCATAGTGCTAGTACATGGGCAGTTACATATTTGATGAATAAAAAATTATTGGCCTGGCAGTGATGGCACACGCCTTTAATCCCAGCACTCGGGAGGCAGATGCAGGCAGGTCTCTGTGAGTTCGAGACCAGCCTGGTCTACAAGAGCTCCTTCCAGGACAGCCTCCAAAGCCACAGAGAAACTCTGTTTCGAAAAACAAAACAAAACAAAATTTGTCTTCTCAGTGTTCTGCGGAGCTCAGTTACATACTAGCCTGGTGTAGCAGTATCCAGAAGTGAATGTAGGGGATGTCTATGAGGAAGGGGGATATACCAAACTCAGAAACAATCTTATTCTGGTTAAATTCGTAGGGTGTTGCTATCAGGAAGCATGAGCTTAAGTTACCCCTTTAAGTAACTACATGTTGCTCTGGATCTCGGCTTCCCCAACTGTGAATGAAGGATCTGGAAAAGATTAATATCCATGGCATACTGTTAGGCATGGTGGTGCATGCCTTTAATCCCAGCACTGATGAGGAAGAGACAGGCCAGCCTGGTCTATAGAAAAAGTTCCAGGGCAGCCAGGGCTACATAGAAAAGTCCAAGTCCCAAGGTACTTCAGTCTTAGTACCTTCTGGTCTGCTTCACTGCCTACAGAAACTGGGACTTAAAACCACCCTCTTTCAGTTCTCCATGATCCTCATCTCCCAGAATGCATCACTAGGATCCACCTCCCATACCCCATACCTCTACCACACCAGCCCCTTCACTGTTGAAAGAAACTGAGACCACAGTGTCCCTAAGCCCTCTGTCGAGCCCAGCCCTCAAAGTCAATCCACAGAGTCCACAGATGCTGGGTCCACATCTCTCCTCTTAAGTTTTATTGACTGATGAAAACTTCATCTTTGTCAGCTGCCAGCTTCAGAGGGACAGAGCTGGGAGACAGGGAACCTGAGATGATGTGAAATTTCAGTCTGAGAGCATAGATCCAGAAGGTGACCCAAGAGAGAGGAGAAGACTATGTGGAAATTACAGAGGAGAAGGGGGCAATCGAGAAGTCTCTTCTGTCCCTCCCAGGATTCAGGAACAACCCAGCAGACCTCTGCCTAAACACTTCTGGACTCCTGCCCAAGACTACAGAATCAGCCCATGATGTCAAAACCCAGCCCAGCTCTAGCTGGGTGCCAGTTTCTTATCTCAGCAGTCCAGACTCCAGACCAACCCAAGAAGAAAAACACCAGAGAAGAGAGTAATTAGATGTGGCCCCTCTGATCAGGGCAGATGTATATGCTGCAGCAAGTTGGGCTGAGGCTTTGCATATTGTTATGGCGGCAGCTGCTATCGCTAGAGTTTGCTGGAGGCCCAGTAGAGGACAGGTGGCAGGAACTCATTCCCAGCAGCCAGGGAAGGGGGCAGTAGTGTTTGTGCTATCTCTGTGTTAGGAGAAGCAGCCTGACCCCTCAGCCAAAGCTTGGGGCTAGCGGGTCACTACAGAGGCCACAGCCCGTTAAGCCAGCCCACGGTTGCATTCCAAGCTTCCAAATCTGGGAATTGCTGGGCTTGGTGAAGGGCAAAGACTTCACCCCCTAGAGGCTAAATTAGAGGTGAGGGTTCTCTTTTCTGAACCCTCAAACTTGCACAGCACAACCAAAGAGAAGAGGAACTCTCAACTCTTCTTGTCATGCCAGACCTCAAATGTCAGACTACATAAAGCTCTAACCCGCCTCTGAGGGCCCAAGGGAGAAGCATGCAAGAGGCCAGCTAGCAGAGAGAGGCCAGTCCTAGCATGCTGGAGCGAGGAGGCCAGGGGCCTATGGAGTTCCAGTGCTTCAGCTCCCATTAGGAAATCTGCCCTGGACTGAGGCAAGTTTCCCATTCCCTAGCTACTTCCCCACCAGATGGGTCATTCCATGAAACTCCATTGCATAGGTCTTGGCAGAGAGCATAAGGGGTCCCCAGTCTGCCCCTCTTTGCCTCTCCCAAATATGGCTTTGGAAAGGAGTTCCCAAGAGTAGAGAAGGTCCTCTGAATGGGCAGACCCATCCCTCACAGGGAAGAGATCTTCACAGTCTCAGGAAGGAGGCACGGGGTACCCAAGCTGGAGTTCCTGAGGGTGGCGGTACTTCTAGCACTACTGCCACCACCGCCGGGAGAGGGTGGCTGACTCTCATCTGGTGTGTTGGCAGGAGGAGTGGGGATACTGATGATGGCAGCCACGAAGTCCCGGCTGTCACAGTTCAGGTCAAGGCTGTCATGAGGCTTGGCATTGAGGCTTGAGCGGCTGTGAACAGGGGTGGGAAAGATGGGATACTCTTAAAAAGTCATCTTGATAATTGTCATACCAATCATCACATTAACGAAGCACCTACTAGGTCCATTGCACTGTGGTAGAAATTCTCCCTGCATCCTCATTTATGGTAAAGGAGGTGCATTCAGGAGTCAACTGGTCTTAGGTTCAAATCACGATCACATTTGACCACATTGAAAACCTCTTTTAATTGAAGCATGGGCACATTCCTTACCTCATCAGGTAGTTATAGAGAGCAAATGAAGTAATAAATGGTACCAAGTGCCTGTATACACACTTTTTGTGTGATGCTGGGGAATAAATCTAGAGCCTTGCCATGTTTGTCTATGGACCACATGCATGTCTGATGCCAAGGAGGCCAGTACAGTGCATCGGATCGCCTGAAACCGGAGTTACAGGTGCTTGGGAGCCACTGTGTGGATAATGGGAATTGAACCTAGATTCTCTGCAAGAGCAATAAGTATTCTTAAGCAGAGCCATCTCCCTAGTCCCTCTCTTGTTATCTTTAACAATGCCAAAACTATTGCAAGAATCTATACTAGGAACAGGTAGTAGTGGTACGCACCAGTAATTCTGCCACTCAAGAGGCTAAGGCAGGCAGACCCTGAGTTTGAGGCTAGCTTAGGCTGCATAAGAGTGAGACCCTACTTCAAAACCAAACGAAACAGACAGAAAGTTTAAAAGTCTGCACTAGGATCTAGAAAACCGAGTCCTCGTTTCTTTCTGACTCTGTCCTTCTTATCTGTTCCCCACTTCCTACTCTGTCCACAGTACTTTCCTTGCCTGACCTCTGATGGACAGAGGCTTCAAGGCATTTGCACAACTGAACACTGCCAGGAAAGCACTCTCTCTACTTACATGTGTGTCTTACTCCCTTGCCTCCTTTAGGCCTGGACTCAGACACCATCTCAGAAAAGCTTTTCTTTTCTTTAAAAAAGTTTTTTTCAGCTTGGTCTACAGAGCAAGTTTGTGGCTAGGCTCCAAATGATTTTGTGTTACTTTATGTGCATAAGTGTTTTGTCTGCATGTATGTGCATGACTGCTGTCTATGGAGGTCAGAAGAGAGCATCAGATCCCCTGGAACTGGAGGCACAGGTGGTTGTGAACCACTATATGTGGGTTCTGGGAACCAAACTGGGGTTCTCTTCAAGAACCAGAGCTCTTGACCTCCGAGCCATCTTCCAGGCATCGGAAAAGCTCTTCAAGGCACTACTAAAACTGCATAAGGCTGTACATGGCTCAGTGATAGAGTATTTTTTTTTGGTTTTTTTGAGACAGGGTTTCTCTGTGGCTTTGGAGGCTGTCCTGGAACTAGCTCTTGTAGACCAGGCTGGCCTCGAACTCACAGAGATATGCCTGCCTCTGCCTCCCGAGTGCTGGGATTAAACGCATGTGCCACCAACGCTCGGCAGTGATAGAGTATTTAACTAACATTTGTGAAACCCTTGGATCCATTCCCAGTACTAAGAAGATAATTTTAACTTATTTTTTGAGGCCGATCTCATATGTAGTCCTGGCTAGACTGGAACTCACTATGTAGACTAGCCTTGAAATCACAGAGCTTGGGTTACATCTGCCTCTTATGTGCTGAGACTAAAAGAATGAACCACTATGCCCAATCTGGAAAAAAATGTGGCTAGAAGCTGTGGAACAATCTTTGTGTGTGTGTGTGTGTGTGTTTTCCGAGACAGGGGTTCACTGTGGCTTTGGAGGCTGTCCTGGAACTAGCTCTTGTAGACCAGGCTGGTCTTGAACTCACAGAGATCTGCCTGCCTCTGCCTCCCTAGTGCTGGGATTAAAGGTGGGCACCACCATGGCCAATAGCTAGGCAAAAAGAGGTCAGGTGGGAGAACCAAACTGAAAGGAAGCTGTCGAGAAGGACAGAGTCTGGAGAATTGTGAGGAGACTCAGAAGCTCAATGAACATGTCTGTTTAAAAAAGGTACCACCATGTGGCAGAGTGTAGATAAGAAATATGGGTTATTTAAGTTGTAAGAGCTAGTTAATAACAAGCCTAAGCTATCAGTCAACCATTTATAATGAATGTAAGTCTCTGTGTGGCTACTTGGAGCCGGTTGGCAGAACAGAGCTGACCTGTGGATGCCAATGAAAAACTTTGCCTACAGCTAGAGAGATGGCTAAGTGGTTGAGTACTGCTCTTTCAGAGTACCTACCTGAGTTTGGTAGAAGTATCCACATCACAACCTTCTATAACTCTAGCCCCTGGGGATCTAAAGCCTAGTACTTTCATAGACGGGCACCTACAATCACATGCACATACCCACCCACACATACATAATTAAGAATAAACTAGCCAGGCGTTGGTGATGCACCCCTTTAATCCCGACACTCAGGAGGCAGAGGCAGGTGGATCTCTGTGAGTCTGAAGCCAGCCTGGTCTACAGAGCAAGTTCCAGGACAGGCTCCCAAGCAATACAGAGAAACCCTGTCTCGAAAGCCAAAAAAGAAGAATAAATCTAAAAATAACCCTTGTATCACCCTCTGCTCAGTAGTTTCTGGCCACTGTTCCTGATTTTTTTATTCATCTTGCTACTTACAAATGTTTGAGCCAGTATATAGTTTTTGTACTTGTTTGTTAAGTGTCTTTTTATATTAGAATGTAAGCTTCAAGACACAAGGATCCACCCCCAAATGTGTGTGTGTGTGTGTGTGTGTGTATTGGATGGAACCTAAGGCCTCCTTCATACTAGGCAAATGTTTATCATTGAGCGACATCCCCAGCTCAAGTGATCCTTCTGCCTTAGCTTCCTGAATTAGACTAGGGCCATACTGCTACTCAGTAAATATTTGAAAAAAATAAATGAAGAGCAGAGTGCAGTAATGTATGAATTTTAGAACTTGATGGATGAGGCAGAATTATCATGAGTTTGAGGTCAACTTCATCTATAAACAAATCAAGACACTGTCTTAAAATTTTGAAAAATGAGCCAGGTTGTGGTGACACACGCCTTTAATCCCACACTTGGGAGGCAGAGGCAGGTGGATGTCTGTGAGTTAGAAGCCACCCTAGTCTACAAGAGTTACTTCCAGGATAGCCAAGGCTATACAGAGAAACCCTGTCTTGAAAAACCAAAAAAAAAATTTAAATGAAGAATTTCCAAGACAAAATAAAGTTCCTTCCACAAAAGAATTTGTGTTTGGGCTTGACTTGCTAGGCCTACAGTCGTGAAATCTCAAACCCATGGTCTAAACCCTGCACTTTCTAATGGTGGTCACACAGGTGAGCCAGGTACTTACCTCTGAGGGGCAGGGCTCCTCCGAAGCCCTGCTAGCGTGTCTAGCTCCTGCATGCTGCCGCGGCTGACAGAAGCAGTGGAGTTGGCAAGGCGGATAGCTCGGCGCTTGGCCCTTCTAGGGCAGCAAGACGATAAGAGACTGCCAGGCCCCATTGGCTGGGAAGACACTGAGGTACTACGGCTGCTGCGACCACCCAGTGACACGGCTCCAAGGGCCTCACTGAAGGTTAGCTCATCCGTGAACTCATGGCACTGTGGGCAGAAGGAAAGCCATGGAAGCTGATACAACGCCCAGACCTTTGCTTAAACAAAGTCACGCTCCCTTCTCTTTCCTCATCCATCCTAGGAGCCTCTTTTTTTTGGTTGTTTTTTTTTGGGGGGGGTACAGGGTTTCTTTGTAGCTTTGGAGGCTGTCATGGAACTCACTTATAGACCAGGTAGGCCTCAAACTCACAGAGATCCACCTGTGTCTGCCTCCCAAGTGCTAGAATTAAAGGTGCGCGCCACCACCGCCTGGCTACCTAGAAGCCTCTTTTTTTTTTTTGAGACAAGGTGCAGCCTATTTAGCCTTGGCTAGCCTACAATTCACTATGTGCATCAGGCTGGCCTGGAACTCACTGAGATCACCTGCCTCTGCCACAAGACTCAGCCTCTTAAAAGGAGCACCATGCGATCTCTACAATTCAGTGGGAAGGCTTCCACCTGGGCCCCTCCCTCCCGGCCATGTGGCATCTTGTTTGGCCTCACCGTAGTCTTCTCTAGACAGTGAAGCAAATGGTGGTGCTGCTGCTCAAAAGCAGAACGGCTCCTAAGACACAGTGCCTGTCCCTCCGCACTGCTGCTGTCCTGGAACAGATGGAGCAGAAACAGGCAGTGAGCGCCTTCCCGCCCTAGCTCTCCCTGCTCCCCCCTAAGCCCCGAGAAACGCGCCTCCCCACCTCGAGGCCCCCATTTTGCTTATACTGCAGGAAGGCGTTGGTGGTGCCACTCTTTGCCAACCGGATTCTTGCCAGGCGCACCTTCTGCAGACAGGGGACAAAAGGTTAGGTGAGTGCGGGAGCAGGCAGGTTTAGGGTGGAAGGAGAGACTGCTCAGAAGGGACACATAGTTACCTGCTGTGCTCGGCGCTTGTCAGCACGCTGGTTCTGGTGGTAGATGCGGCTAAAGTTGGACACAATGACCGGCACAGGCAAGGCAATAACCAAGACACCGCTAAGTGAGCAAATGGACCCGAAAATTTTGCCAGCGATGGTGCTAGGCACCATGTCTCCATACCTGGGAAAGACAGAAGCAGGCCAGGGTTGAAGAGGTGTGCAGCCCCCCCCACTCCTGATGTGCTCCCCACGTGGACTCTCTGAGCTTCAGTTTCTTCCTTCCTTTTTTTTTTTTTTTTTTTTTTTGGTTTTTCGAGACAGGGTTTCTCTGTATTGTTTTGGAGCCTGTCCTGGAACTCGCTCTGTAGACCAGGCTGGCCTCGAACTCACAGAGATCCACCTGCCTCTGCCTCCCGAGTGCTGGGATTAAAGGCGTGCGCCACCACCGCCCGGCTTCTTCCTTCCTTTTTAAGTTTTCTGTTGTTCTGTTTTGTTTGGTGTTTGTTTTTTGACACAGGGTTTCTCTGCGTAGTCCTGGCTGTCCTGGAATTCACTGTGTAGACCTGGCTAACCTTGAACTAGAGTTACAGACAGTTGTAAGCTACCATGCAGCAGTGCTGGGAATGGACTCCAGGTCCTCTGAAAAAGGTGTTCTTAACTACCGAGCCATCTCTAGCACCAGCTTCGGTTCCTTACACTGGAGAATGGGGGCAGAGAAACAGCATAGCGGTTAGGAATTCCAGAGGAACCGAGGTCCGCACCCGTGTCTGTCAGCTCACAACTATCCATATCAGTCACTCCAGCACCAGAGGGTCCAAGGCCCTCTTCCGAACTCCGTGGAAACCTGAACTCACATGCACATACCCACACACAGACACATCTGCTGCACGTAATTTAAAAATAGTAAAAAAAAAAAAAGCAATAAATGGTCAAAATGTGAAAGATGGCCAGGCATGGTGGCGAAGGCCTTTAATCCCAGCACTCAGGAGGCAGAGACAAGTTTGAGGCCAGCCTGGTTTACAGAGTGAGTTCCAGGACAGCCAGGCATACACAGAGAAACCCTGTGTCAAAAACAAAACAATTCAAAATGTGAAGAATGACCTCTCTGCTCCCCAGCAGTAGAGGTCAAATGAAAAACTGAGGCTGCCTTCATCTAAGCTATGCATCGGGCATCATCATTGCCATCTGGAAATGGACTAACACCAAGCAGAAGGGAAACCAAGGAATCAATACAGGATCCTGGGGGCTAGACAAATGGCTTAGTGGTTGCAGTTCAAGCGAGAGGCTCTATAGTCTGCTGCTTTTGCTTGCTTCTCTGTATTCTTTAGGAAGGACCCCTTCGAATGTCCCCCAGAAAAAGCCTGGAAAGTGTCCTCCTATGAAAGACAGGGAGCTTCAAAACTACCCGGCCTTCCTCCAAGCCATCCCGGTCCCATGGAGCCACAGCAGAACCAACTACTGGCTTGTTTCTCAAAGGAGGAAAACGGCTCAGAAAGGAGTCCACAGCACACTTGGTTTTTCTAACCACAAGACCAACTAGAACGCCTTTGAGAAGTTCAGCCTCTGCAATATTCAGCTTCTAGGCTTTTGCTTGGGCTGCACCCTAAGGTGGCTCTTCCTTATCCCTTTGAGTTGCAGTGTTGTTGCTGTTAGTAGTTTTGCTTTGTTGAGACAGGGTCTCCTGTATCCCAGGCAGACGTCAAGCGTACTATGTATCTGAGGATGACCTTGAGCTTCTGATCTCTTGTTTCTGCCTCCCACTGTGTGCTGGGATTAAAGGCACAATAACCCTGCTCAGTTTACGCAGTGCTGGAGGGTGCACGCAGAGCTTTACAGGTCCCAGGCAGGCACTCTATGACTTGAGCTACATCTCCACATCTTTTCATTTGTTCTAACCATTCAGGGCCCTGCTCCAGAATCTCTGTAACTTGGCCATTTCTAACTATGTGATAGTCCTCGCAGACTATGTCTCACTTACGAGGCATGAGCACCTACTGTCATAGCTGTTCTGAGGACTATATATGACAAAAGGCATCAAGAGACCTACTGCCAGCCAGGTGATGGTGGCGCACACCTTTAATCCCAGCACTCGGGAGGCAAAGGAGGTGGATCTCTGTGAGTTCCAGACCAGCCCCGTCTACAGAGCAAGTTCCAGGACAGGTTCCAAAGAAATACAGAGAAACTCTGTCTCGATAAAACAAAAAACAAAACAAAACAAAAACAAAAATAGAGATCTACTGCCAACTCACTTTTAGGACTCCATATTTATTGATTTGAGCCAGTCATGAGCTTCTAGGCTGAATTAATCTCTATTTCTTAGAAACTCTTATACTGGGGCTGGAGAGATGGCTCAGTGGTTAAGAGCACTGGCTGCTCTTCCAGAGGACTGGGGTTCAATTCCCAGCACCCACATGGCAGCTCACAACTGTCTGTAATTCCAGTTTCAGGGGATCTGACACCCATGGCAAAATACTGATGCATATAAAATAAAAATAAATAAATTTAAAAAAGAAACTCTTATACTTCTCTTCAGGCACTGAATAAATTCAGCCATTCTACAGATACTGAATAGCAACACTCTACCTAATCCTAGAGAGGGGGATTTGGAGAAGAATCACAGCATCTGCCCTGCACAGTGCCTTTTAAAACACTGCGAGGAGGCAGGGGAGCTGGCACACTCAATAAAAACGTGTTATACATGCAAGCATGAGGATCTGAGTTCAGATCTCCAGAACTCATGTATAAAGCTGTATTAGCAGCATGTGCCTAGAATCCCAGCCCTAGAGGGTAGAGATGTGCATAGGTCTGGAGCTCACTGGTCAGCTAATCTAGCTGAATGGATGAGCTTCTGGTTTGATGAGAGAAATGTCTCAAAAACTAAAGGTGGTAGGAGGCGGATCTCTGTGAATTCAAGGCCACCCTGGTCTACAGAGTGAGTTCCAGTGAAAGACCCCTACCCAGGACCCCCTAGAAAAAGAAAAGCAAGGCCAGGCTGTTGCCTAATGAAAGAAACCCAGACCAAGTGGTGCAGCCAGTGGTCTGGCCCCGGTTCTTGGGCAGAGGGTTCAGTTCAGTGCCCAGCGCTTTGATGCCGAGGTCTTTCACCAGGACAGCCAGAGCTACAGAGAGAAACCATGTCTTTAAAAAATAAAAACTATAAAATAAAGGTGGCAGCACATACCTTTAATCCAAGCACTTAGAAGGCAGAGGCAGGTGGATCACTGTGTGTTGTAAGCCAGTCTGGTCTACAGAGCAAGTTCTAAGCCAGTCAGGGCTACACCATGAGGATTTGTGTCAAAAAATACATACAACAGGGGCCAACAAGATGTCACACCTGCAAAGAGCATGCCAATGCAGGCTTGACAACCTGAATTAAATCCTTGGACTCAATATCAGGCAGTGGTGTCTCACACCTTTAATCCCAGCATTTAGGAGGCAGAGTCAGGCAGATCTTTGAGTTCAAGGCCCTAACTCTCTACAAAGAGAGTTCCAGGACATCCAGGGCTACACAAAGAAACCATGTCAAAAAACAAAATAATGCTGGGTGTGGTGGCGCACGCCTTTGATCCCAGCACTCAGGAGGCAGAGGCAGGCGGATCTCTGTGAGTTTGAGACCAGCCTGGTCTACAGAGTGAGTTCCAGGACAGGCTCTAAAGCTACAGAGAAACCCTGTCTCGAAAAACAAAAAAAAATTGATATAGCTAGGTAGGTGCCATAGGGCTAGAGTTCCAGCACTCAGGAAGCAATGGCAAATGGATGATGAGTTCAAGGCCAGCTTGACCTACTTTAGTAAGAATCTATCTCAATAAAAAAGTAATCGCAAAGCCCCAGAAGCTGTGCCCACACAGTGGACAATTCTAGAAGGTTGAGAGACGTGACATGAATGTTCAAAATGGAAAAAATGGTGATAGGAAGTCATATACCTGTGTATCCTGTGCCAGAAGCATTCAGAGAATTCACATGGTATCCTTGACTCCTCTTAAAGTGCTCATTTCCCACTTTACAAAGGGGGAAACTGATAAACATAGCATGCCTAGAATTCCAGTCATTAGAAGGCTGGGGTAGGAAGATTGCTTTGAGTCTGAGGCTTGCTTGGACTATACAGTGAATCCAGGCAAGCCTGATGGGCTACATAGTGGAACCCAATCTCAAAGAAAAAAGAAGGACACTGGGACCCTGTGAAGGTGTGATGAGAAAAGGGAGCAACATAAACAATTCTTTCCTTTAAGTTTGCTCAGAATCTCCTTGAGAGGTTTTTAAAGATTTATTTATTTGTTATGTACACAGTGTTCTGCCTACATTGATGTCTGCAGGCCAGAAGAGGGCACCAGATCTCATTACGGATGGTTGTGAGCCACCATGTGATTGCTGGGAATTGAACTCAGAACCTCTGGAAGAGCAGTCAGGGTTCTTAACCTCTGAGCCATCTTTCCAGACCAGCATAAACAATTCTTGAAATCTGACCTGGAAAAACCAAGGTATGTGCAGAGATGAGAGGGATTAGAAAATTTAAGTATAACTCTTATCTACATTTTGTAAAATAGGGCCATGCTATCTAGCATCACTGGACTGGAATTTGTTATCTAATCTAGGCTGGCCTCAAACTCACTAAGATCCGCCTGCCTCTGCCTCCTGAATTCTGGGATTAAAGGCATGCACCACCACACCTGCCTTCTCTACATTTTTTAAGACAAGGTCTCACTGTAGCCTTGGCTGTCCTGGAACTGATATGTCGACCAGGCTGCCCTTGAATTTACAGAGATCTGCCTGTCTCTACTTCTGAGGTACTAGAATTCAAGATTTGCTACACCAACCAAGCTAAATTTTTACCTTTTAAAAAAATATTGATGTATTTTATTTCACATGTGTGAGTTTTTTGCCTTCATGTACATTTGTGCACTGTTGTGGAATATTTGTTTAACTAGGCAAAGAAGTGTTACATTATTTCATGCTGTATTTGTTAACTATGTAAAGATATGTTGCGTTTGCATTAATTAAATAAATATTAACCTGGGCTCAGAGAGGCAGGATTAGCCATTGGTTGACAGGAAGTAGAAGGGAGGAGCTTAGCATGGTTTTTGTTGTTGTTGTTGTTGATGTTGTTGGGGCAGTGTGGAAGGGAGGGGTCTCCAGGGTCACCAGCAAAGAGAGAAACTTAACCAGTTGCTACTCTAACTCTCTGAGCTCCCACATTTTCACCCTAGCTTTTGAATCTTGAATTTTATTAGAACGGTAGAGATTTAGTTAGAACTACCTTTAGCAGCAGCAACAGAGCCATTGTCTGCGGGAACAGAATTGTCCCCAGGCTATGGCCTTAGAGGCTGGGCAGATAGCTTAAAGGGCAACCACTGTGGTGAAGGTAAACCAGTGCTCCACATGTATTCAGTGCCCAAGGAGGTCAGAAGAGGGCATTGAAAGTTCAGGAACTGGAATTGCAGATAGCTATTAGCTGCCATGTGGGTACTGGGAACCAAACTTGGGTCCTCTGCAAGAGCACCAATGAGCCATCTCTACAGCCCCCTAAAATTTATTTTAAGAGATTTATTTTTCCAGGCATAGTGGCACATACCTTTAATCCCAGCACCTTGGAGGCAGAGGCAGTCAGATTTCTATGAGTTCAAGGCCAGCTTGAACTGCATAGCAAGCCCCAGGCCAGCCAAGGTTGCATAATGAAATTCTGTTGCAATAAAACCTAAAACCAATGCTGGGAGGTTGTGGTGCATACCTTTAATCCCAGTCCTCGGGAGGTAGAGACAGGCAGATCTCTGTGAGTTTGAGACCCCCCTGATCTACAAGAGCTAGTTCCAGGACAGCCTCTAAAGCCATAGAGAAACCCTGTCTCAAAAAAAAAAAAACTACCTAAAAACAGATTATTTATTTTTAAATTATGTATATGTGTATATATATGTGCAAATATGTGCACAATTGTGTAAATGCCTGGACCACTAGAGGCATCTGTTAACCTGGATCTCAAGTAACAGGCAGTTGTGAGCCATCCAGCCTGGGTGCTGGGAATCAAACTTAAGACCTCTGCAAAAGAAGTATGTACTCTTGTCTGGCGAACCATTTCTCCAGTCCCAGGTTTCTGAATTTGTATAGATTAGCAAACTGGAGCTCAAAGGAGATAAAGGAACCAATCATGCTGGTATATACCTGTAATCCCAGCACTGGGGATGTGGAGACACGAAGATAATGTGTTCAAAACTACCCTGGACTATACATAGCACAACGACCTTGTCTCAAAAGTGGGGTGGCAGGCAGAAGGAGAGCACGTATTTCACACGTGTGAAGGCTCCATGTGAGGCTCTGGGTTTGACATCCATCACCATAGAGGTACGTTCTAACCTTCCTAATATTACAGAAAGGGTATGTGTGCCTGACGGGTTGCCAAGCTCCCAGCTCAAGGTCTACACTTACCCAAGTGTGGTCATGGTGACAATGGTATACCAGAAGGCAGCAGGGATGCTTGTAAAGTTGGTCTTGCTGGTGCCCTTCTCAGCATAGAACATGACAGTGGCAAAGATGATGATGGCCATGGTGAGGGAAAAGAGGAGAAAGCCCAGCTCAGAGGCACAGCTCTTGAGGGTGTAGCCCAGAATCCGCAAGCCCTGGGAGTGTCTGGAGAACTTGAAGATCCTGAAGACCCGGAACACACGTAGGGTGACAAAGGCACCAGAGACATCATCATTCTTGGGCACAAAAAGCCCAATGTAGTAGGGCAGGATGGCCACCACATCAATGAGGCTCATCACGCTGCGCAGGAAGCGACAACGGCTGGGGGCTGCAAAGAGCCGCAGAAGGTATTCCCCGGTGAATATGAGTACACAGGCTGTGTCCATACAGAAAAAGGCCATTGGGAAGCGGTCACCACAGGGCTGCTCTCTCGTGGGTCGCCGTGCAGAGCTACGGCAAGGGATGGTCTCCACTACATTGGCGATGACTGACACAGCTATGAAAAAGCCAGTCACATAGTAGAAAACGAGGGCTGCAGTGCTCGTGTGTGGGTTTTCGAAGGCCCTCCAGAGTCGCTGTCGCAGGGAGCTGCCGGCTGGAAGGGCTGGACTTTCCCCGGCCTGCTCGGCCTCCTCGTCTTCTGCCAGGCGCTCTGCGTTCTCCTTCTTGCGGTCCCTGTACTCTTCAAGACAGCAGTCGCCCACAAGTTCTGGTACCAAGCCATAGAAAGCCAGCTCCTCGTCAAAGGCCTGGATGCACTCCTGCCTGGGACAGTGCAGCCGGCCTGTGCGATAGAAGTTCAGCACGTGCCGGAACATGTCTGGGTCACGATCAAAGAAGTACTCGCCTGATTCGGCATCATAGAAGAATTCCTTCTCCGAGCTGCCCAGCAATGTGTCTGGGTAGCGATCCAGCGTGTTTTTCCAGGTCTCAAAGCGCCGACCACTCACATTCACCACCAGAACCTCATCCCCTCGAGATGCCTTCACCTCCGGTGCAGGGGGCAAGGGCTGCTGGGCTAAGGGTAGCCAACCCACTGCTGCAGCCCTTGCAAATGGTAGCCATGTGGCCACACCTGCCGCCATCCTGCAGCTCCCAAGGCCCACGGAGACTTGGGTATATGATGTTTAGGAAAATGTGACTATCTCCAGGATGGTGAAGGCTTGGAGAAACCCTGGGCTACCCAGACAAGGAAACCGGTGTGTGTGTGTGTGTGTGTGTGTGTGTGTGTGTGTGTGTGTGTGTGTGTGTGTGGAGAGAGAGAGAGAGCGCAAGAGGAACTGGGAGGAAGAGGAGCTTGTGGGGTATGGGGGCGTCTAGGGGACTAAGAACCAAGAAGGGTCCTCAGATCTATAAAGACATAGATGATTATATAGGGGTCAACACATTCCTGAGAGATGTTTGAGGGTGTTCAATAAAGGAGGGCCTGTAATCCCTCACTTGAGTTGACAAGGAGACAGATCGGGGTATTCAGAGAGTTGGAGATGGAACCAGAGGTGTTTGAAAGAGGCTGAAGGGTGGTCCACACCCAGAAGATTTATGGGGAAGCATACATGGGTTGGAGCCCCATTGCAGATCAGGAAAGGGGACTGAAACATCTCAAGGGTGGCTATAGAGCCAGGAGGTTGTAAAGATGCTAAAAAAGTGTCTCAGGAGTGACTAGCCCTGCCAAGAATAGCCTGAGGATGTTGTCTACAATCTACAGTTCTGGGGAAGGTAGGAGGGTGAGGACCCTCTGATGACAATTGAGAAAGGGGGTAGCGAAAGTGGTATATGGGACCGGCTTATTTTTTAAAAGGCTGGGAGATATCCAGCAGAGAGGTTACCTGGAGGGGTTTAGGAAGCCTGGTTCGTATCTGAAGAGCTCTGGGTAAGGAAATGGGGGGGTGTCTGGAAAATCCCAAAGGACTGATACTCAACTAGACTGAAGCTGGGTACAGCCACCGGAGCACACAAGGAACTCTCAAAAGATTATGCTAAGAAGGAGGGGATTCCCTCAAAATAGGTTGGATAGGGGGCGGGGTATTGGAAGAAAGTTGGGTGTGTCTTCCAGGAGAGGGGGCTGCTGAACCTTGCTGGAAGCTGGTAGGGGAGACCACGAGAAGGCTGGGTCCCACCGTTAGAGGCAGGTCTGGGGAAACCACACCCCGAGGGGCTGGCGGTAAATACCCAGCAACAGCAGTAGCGGCAGTGGGAGCAGCAGCAGCAGCAGCAGCAGCAGCAGCAGAAGAGGAGGAAGAGAGCAGCCACAGCCAGGCCTAGGAGGGAAAGGTGGCACAGGCGGGGGCGGGGTGGGAGACAGGGGGAGGAGGCTGCTGGGTCCTTGGAAGGAGGCTCTGGAAGGACAAGGTCCAGTGGGACCCCCGGGGACTGTTCCAGGATGGACTAGGGCATGGGGACCGGACCAGGAAGAGACAAGGACAGAGCTCTTGATGATCCCCTCCCTCTCCCCACAGGGCTGTCCTCACCTGTGTCCCCAATGCAGCAGCAGCAACAGCGTTGGGGCTGGGGGGTACCAAACACCGGAGCTCCTGGCCCCTCTGCAGAGCTGCCGGAGTTCCTCCTCCTCCAGCGCTCTCTCCCCGCCCCTCTGGAGCTTGTCGGGAGATGAAGCGAGAGGCAGGGAGGGGCCACGTGGCTCCCAGAGCCCCCTCCCCTAGGACAGCTTGGGAGAGACCCTGGGGAGACTCCGCCTCCCTACAAAGCTGGTTGGGCCTCAGTCGCGTCATCTGGAAAATGGGGGTGGCAGGGACCTTTGCCAGTTCTCCTCACCTCCTTCTTCCTGGACTCCCCCTTCTTTCTGCCCAGCTCCTACCCCCACTGCCCCCAGGGGCCCTCACCCCCACCAGTCTGAATCAGCAGCACTTAGCTGAACCAATCGATGGGGAGGCGTCTGTTAATGGCCCCAGAGCGGAGTGCCATGGGGAATGATGCAGTGCTGTGTCCCCTCCCTGCCCCCCCTGGCTGTGGAAGGGCGGGGAGAGGTGGGGGAGGGACGATTGGTGGGGATGTTTCTCTAGATGACCAGACCTCCACATCCACTTTTGAGGGGAGGGCAGAGGTCAGAGCCCAACTTCCAAACCAGACTTTAGTTGTGGAACTCTAGTATACACCTTCCAGTTTGGAGATGCAAGATGCAGAGCAAAGGCAGTGCAGATGGAGACAATCCAGGCACCAGCCCCTACCCATAGGCCCCTTGCCAAAGGAGCAGGCTTCCCATCTGTCTGTACCCGATGCCCTCAGATCACACCTCTTTCCATGGGGGCCTCTGCTTCTCCGTATCAGAACACAGAGGAGTGACTCTGGGGTAAGTCTGAGTTCTGACTCGCTGTGTCCTTCATCAGGTGACTTGTTTCCTCGGTTGTCAGAGAGAATTACCCCAACTTGACAGTGTCCTTTTAAACATTAACCGAAGCAGTGTGAATGGGGCTGGTACAGGTATGGCCCGGCAGGATGCCTAGTCTTAAGTAACTAAAGGTGTGTGATGAGGGTGAAGATGAACTCCCGAGTCCTTCGGTCCACTTACCCAACCATGACACTCGCTTGCTTTTTTTCATATTCCTTAGTTGTGCATTCACTCACCCATTCTCTTACCCACATAGCCGATGATATTACCTGCTCCTCTACACAGCCATCTGCCCATTTAGTCACTTACCCACTCATCTATCTAACCACTTGACAACCTATCCCTAATTATCAATCCTCCATCCATTCACTCAGTAGCTTCACCTATCATGAATGCATCCAACACTCCCTTCCCTTTCATTCCCTTACACCCATAATTCCACTCTAGCCATGTCAATTTACTCCCAACCTATCCATAAATGCAAGCATCTACCCACATAGCTAATCCATCCACTTATCCATTTGCCCACCCTCTAGACATCCATCTGTCCATTTATATCTCCTTTTACTCACACTCTATCCACTTACTAATTCATCCACTTATTCATCCATCTACCTATGCATTTCTTTCCAGCCATACAAGCACTTATTTATGCCCAGCTCATCTAAGCACTCCTCCCCCCTGCTATCTGTTCATTCATCATCAGCCTCCATTTATGCAATGCACCCACCCACATCTGCAGATATTTCTGCCCGCCTCCCTTTGAGAGGTCTGCCAGGAAGTAGGTGAGGTGAGAGGGGAAGACGAAAAGTCGCAGCCGGAGGTCACCTTCCCCATTCCAGTGCAATGGCCACCCCGCTCCCAGCACATCCGTCTTGATTGAAAAGAATGAGACCACACAGTCAGTGGTTGGCCCGTCTGGCCACATGGTATTTTGGCTGCATAGCCTTTACACACACACTCACGCACATACATACATTGCTAGAACATTAAGCATGGACTGCACCCCCACCCGACATCCCCAGCCCCAAATGCAGAGTGGCCAGGCTTCCAGACATAAATTAAAAAATAAAAAGAAAAGACTTGGACTCTGGGAGGGAAAGCTCATGCAGAGTTGAAGGCAGATGCCCTTGGGAGCCAGGGCCAAGAAGAAAAAAAAAACCCCTGCCCTTCCCTCAGGATCCTTCCTCCCCAAGGGTCTCTACCATATGATTGGGGTCATCAACACCAGCCACAGATCAACCTCTAGACCCTTTAATGTCCATCTCCAAAACTATTAGATTTGATGACAGCCTCCAAAATTTCCCACCATAGCCCAAGTAGCATTCTGGAATGGGGTGGAAGTAGGTGCAGCCTGTAGGTCTTAGTTGGCTTCTCCAGGTTCTAGGTCTGGGTCAGGGGACCCCACACATTCCTTGCTGAGCCGTACAATTTCCTGGGATAGAACTTCCATGTCCTAAGAAACAAATGAGTCATCAGGGGATAGAGAAGGGGAGGGAAGGGGCAGGTCTGTTATCAAATATGAGGTGCTATCTGTAGTTAGATGGACTGATGGGTTAACCAGTGCCCAGTGATATGTGCTCTTAGACAGGAAGATCTACCACCTTCTCTTCTACCAAATGTGAGCTTGCTTCTGCAAGGCATGTGTATAAGTCCCTTATTCATGAAGGAGTATCTGGGTGGGGGTGGGGGAATTAATGTGTGGGTGGACCCATCAGGGATGCATGGCAGACAAATAGGTTCACAAATGAATTTTGTAGAGGACAAAAGGTAGGTAGGCAAGTGACAAGTAGGGATGACTGATGAGTAGATGAGAGAATGATGCATCACTGGACGCACGCCTTTAATCCCAGCACTTGGGAGGCAGAGGCAGGTGGATCTCTGTGAGTTCGAGACCAGCCTGGTCTACAGAGTGAGTTCCAGCACAGCCTCCAAAACAATACAGAGAAACCCTGTCTCGAAGAACGGAACAGCAACAAAAAGACTGATGCATCAGGAACGCGATGGAAGACTTGGCGACGATGGTTGGACAGCCAGGCGGTAGGGTCGGGAGACAGGTAAATGGTGGGATAGTGCACATATGAATGGAGAGTCGCTGGAAGAAGCGATGGAAGAGTGCTAGGCTAAACTGGATGGTAGAAGAGGGCACACAAAAGGGCAGTAGGTGACTGGAAGGTGACAGCTGGGAGGACGCGGGCCCACTGGGAGGACACAGTGTGGGTGGGGAGGCAGGTGGTTGGAGGGACTGGTACTCCACACTCGCCTTGTGCAAGTGCATATTCTTGGTGAGTTGCTCCTCCAACATGTTCTGCAGCTTCTTGTTCATTTCCCGAAGGTTCTCATCGCCTGGCTTCACTAGGTCTCTCAGGACACTGCCCAGCCCACTTCGGTCTGTGTGGCCTGCCGCCACAGACACATCTGCAAGGGTCCAGGCTGAGCACTACCCTCGGCAAAGCCGGGGATAGGGAACAGGACACAGTAGGCAGAGCCGAAGGAGGAAGGAGGAAAACAAAAGAGCAGGCAGGAAGGGACAAAAGCAATGCTGGGGCAGAAGTTTTGACATGTGAAACCCAGCTGTCACTAGTTATGTGACTCTGAAAAATAGGGATAATTCCTAACTCATGCTGGGAACATGTATATGACTGCAAGTGACACAAAGAGCATAGTAAACCCTCAGAGCATGTCAGTGGGTATTACTCACTAGGAAAAATCAGGAAGTGGGGAAGACTTGAAAGCAAGGAACAAGACAGAGGAGAGATGAGGTAGCAGACAGATGGGAGAGGAAAGGATAGCCATGAAGTCAGAGAGGAGAACAGGGATGAAGATGCACCCGTCATCCCAGCACCTGGAAGGCCAGCCTATGTCACAAAGCAAGTACCAGGCCAGCCAAGGCAATAGAGCAAAATCCAGTTTCAAAGAACAAGCAAACAAATAAAAACGGAAATAGAACAATAGAGTTGCTAAGAGAAGATGAAGTAGGGGAACACATAAAGAAATAGAAGGGTATAGAAGAAAAAAAAGAGACAGAAGTCCAGGGAAAACACTAAAGAATGGAGGGGTTAGAACTGATCAGTACAAAGGGGAGGCCAGACCATAATAAAAAGCTTCCCTGCTTTTCCCCTGCATGGGTCATGATCTTGTGCATAGTGTGACTGAATTTCAAGAAGAGAGAAGTAGCAGCATAGACCGATAGAAAAGGAGGGGCAGGTGAAGGCTGTACGGCAGGTAAGGACTGGGGAAGGAGCACTGACCAATCCGGCTGTCCATGACATAGGTCTCAATGATGGCGCTTTTCCGGCAGAGGTCCTCTGCCATAGAGGCGCTGCTCACCTCCAGGTGCTTCACCTGCAAGAGGGTCCACCCCATCTCATGAACTTCACATTTTCCCTTATGCGGAAGACCCAGGCAGACAACCTTCCCACCCCCATCCCAGGGCACTTCATGAGGGAACTAGCAGGCAGACAGCACCTTCTCCTCCAGCATCCATTTTTCCTGCTGTGTCTCAGCCAGTCTCTGAAACAGCTCAGCCACTTCCTCATCTGACAGCTCGGCTGGTCGAGGGGGCTGGGCCTGAGGACTGCTAGATAAAGACTACAAGAAAGAAGAGAGAGAAAATCCAGCCATTCTCAGCATCACCATCCTAAGTTAGGGGCTGAAGGCGCATGAGGGAAGCGAGTATAGGCTCTGAGGCTGGAGCTAAAGGTCACACTTGGCACTCTTAGAAAACTTCACATTTCCTTTGGCCTAAAGCGAGGCAGACAGTGTTACCACCACCACCACAAGAGTGTTACTGAGAGGACTAAAGGAAATTCAGTAGCAAATGACATCTAATTCCCAGATGACAGGAAATGGAGGCAATAGTAGAACAAGCTAAATGGTACCATTAAGAAGCAAGCAAAAATATTTAAAGGTGGGATGTTTCCTGCAGGTCAAATGGTTTGGTTTCTTCCACCAGCTGATGTCAGGAAAGTAGGATCAGAACAGACACAGAGACACAAGGAAGGGAAAACAAACAGGTAGCAACAACAACGACCAAGGTATACTCGGAAACCAAATGCTAGCTTTTACAAAAAGGAGACACTAGAGGCTGGGCAGTGGTGGCACACACCTTTAATCCCATCAATTGGGAGGCAGAGACAGGTGGATCTCTGTGAGTTCAAGGCCAGCTTGGTATACAAAGTAAGTTCCAGAACAGCCAGGCAGGACTATTTCACAGAGAAACCCTGTCTCTGAATACCCCCCCCCCCAAACTCCACTAGAGAGTCAGGCAGTGGTGATACACATAATCCCAGAACTCAGGAGGCAGAGGCAGGCAGATTTCTGTGAATTCAAGGCCAGCCTGGTCTACAGAGTGAGTTCTAGGATAGCTAGGGCTGTTACACAGAAAAACCTTGTGTCAGAAAAAGAAAGAAGGAAGGAAGGAAGAAGAGAGAAAGAGGGAGAGGGAGAGAGAGAGAGAGAAAGAAAGAAAGAAAGAAAGAAAGAAAGAAGGAAAGAGGAAGTCCAATTGAGATAAGGGCACTAGCTGCTTTTGCAGAAGATCGGGATTAATTTCCAAGCTCATATAGTGGCTCACAATCATATACATACATATATACATATATATCCAGCTCTAGGAATATGATGCCTTCTTCTGAACTCTGTGGGCACCAGGTACATACATGGCACACATACACATGAACCAAAACCACACATAAAATAGACATCTGAAAAATTTGTTTTTTTTTTTGAGACAGAGTTTCTCTGTGTAACCTTGGCAGTCCTGGAACTTGCTCTGTAGACCAGGCTGGTCTCGAATTCAGAGATCCGCCTGCCTCTGCCTCCCGAGTGTAAAGATTTTTAATTAAAAACATTTTTCAAAAGTCCTATCAGGGCTGCAGAGATTACTTAGCTATTAGAGCTAAGTTTACAACCAAAAAAAGACAAAAATTCCCACCAAAAATGTCTCACTATATATATAAAATTTGTGTAATGATTTAAAATTTTTCCAAATAAAAGCATTTGGCAGGAAACTTGATGTGACAAATGGCAATAATAATGACTGATAAGTGTAAATTGTTACAGGGAATCAGCCACAGGGGCTCATGCTTATAATCCCAGCACTTGGAAGGCTAATGCAGGATGATTATGAATTCAAGGCCAGCCTGGGCTACATAGCAAGAATCCAATCATAAAAATTACAATAAATAGGGGATGGAGAGATGGCGGGAGTTAAGAGCACTGATTGCTCTTCCAGAGAATCCCGTTCAATTTTCAGCACCCACATGATAGCTCACAAGTACCTCCAGTTCCAGGGGACCTGACACCCTCTTCTGGCTTCTAAGGGTAATGCATATAGGTAGCATACCAACATACATGCTGGTAGAACAACTATACACATAAACTAATACAAAATTATTTAAGGCTAGTTGTGGTGGCGTACGACTTTAATCCCAGCACTTTGGAGGCAAATCAGGCAGATCTCTGTGAGTTTGAGGCCAGTTTGATCTACCTAGTGAGTTCCAGGACAACCAAGGCTATGTAGAGAGGCTCTGTCTCAAAAGCCTATTTTTAAAAAAGCAATAGACAGACATGGTGGCGCACACCTTTAATCCCATCACTCAGGAGGCAGGCCAGGCAGATCTCTTCTATGAGGTTGAGGTCTACATGGTCTACATAGCAAGTTCCAGGTCAACTCAACCAGGGCTACATAGGAAGACAGTGTCTCCAAAAAATAATACTAAGTTGGAAAATGGGACTTCCTGCCTGAGGGGTGCACCTCCCACAACGCCTCTACTTTCCAGCACTAGGAAGGTGAGATTAGCCTACGGATGATGAAATAGAGGGGCAGAGAGATTGGTTGGCCTGTCTCCCATCTATCATCTAATTTAAGTTGATGAATTTGTGGAGACGTTGACAAAACGTTTGCATCAGGGGCTAGGGCTGAACCTTAGCAGAATGGCAAATGTTGGCATGTGTTTGTTCTGCATGTATGTGTTTGTGTGAGGTCCCAGGTTCAATCCTTAGCAAGGGAGAGACAGACACACATACAGAGAGAGAGGCAAAGTCAGAGAGAGAAACAAATAGAGAGACAGAGAAGAAATGCTTGTCTGGAGGTCAGTGAGGGGAAAATGGGCACATTCCAGTCTTAGTAGGTGAGAACTTGCCCCTTACCCTGGCTGGCATGGCTGAGCTCTCCTTCTCCTTCAAAATCTCCCGGTAGCTGAAGGAGGAGATGCTACTACTGTCCCCTGTCTGGGTCCGGCTTGGTGAGTTCATCTCAGAGAGAACTAGCTCCTCAAGGCCTGGGGAGTGTAGGAAGAAGAAGCCTGAGTCTGAATGCCTGGGGATCTCAGGACAGCAACAAGCAAGAAGGGGCACAAACAGATTTGCCAGAGATGGAAAGAAGAAAAGAGACACGCACGCAAGCAAATCCACGGACTGGACCAGGGAGAAACAAGGGACCATCTGAGCTGGTAAACAGTCAGTGAAAGAAAGGGAAGTGGATGAGGCTGAGCGAAAGGACAATGAATACACAAGATCCCAGTGGCACACGCATTCAAACACAGATGCAGAAAAGGGAAGCCCGAGAGTGAGAGTACACGGTGGCACACACACATGCAGGGGAAAGCCCAGAGACAGGAAGCCAGCACATGACGGAAACTGACAGAAACCACAGAGAAAGACACATGCAGATCAAAGTCAGAACGAAGATGGAGACACAATTGTAGCCATTCACCTAGACCTTCGGCCCATATAATGAATAAGAAAGATGTACAATATAAAATTCTAATCTACTCCCCACTTCTTCAACTAATCTATAACAAAACACTTGTATCATAATGAGAGGTTACTTCAGGAGGCTGAGTGTCTCAGGGAGAAGTTGGTTCGGTGAGCGCTATATGTTTTGCCATGTCACTTGAACACTCACTGAGCATGTGGTACATGCCTGCAGGTAGATTACTTGAACTGGGGAGTTCAGGGTCAGCCTGAAGAACCCGGTCTCAAAAACAAAACAGAAAACATTGGTACTGAGTTTGTAACACTGCCATTATAGCTGCTTCCAGGTATCAGGGAAAGTTAGTATCATACTCCAAAGGAGTCCATGAGGTTCCCCCACATGTCAGTTGACAGCAAAGTGTCTCTAAGCCTGTCTATGATCTAAGAGATGCACTAGAACCATCACTAAGTCTGAGTTATTTCAATGTATTTACAGCTACTCCCAACTAAGAAAAGGTAGAAACAACTCCAGTTTTGTGTGGGCATGTCTTCTGCTTTCAGTGGCAGAAGTATCGTGGGTTGAGTTAGCAGTATATTGAAAACAGTACAAGCCAGACGTGGTGGCTTATGCTTGTAACTAAGCTCTTAGGAGGCCAAGGCAGAGCACCATGAGTTTGAAATCAGTCTCGGCTACAAAGTGATGCTGTCTAAAAAAACCCAATACTAGTAACAGTGATGGCAGTAATGAAGACGACAGTGTTAGCTGGGCGGTGGTGGCGCACACCTTTAATCCCAGCACTTGGGAAGCAGAGGCAGACGGGTCTCTGCGAGTTCGAGGCCAACCAGGACTATTACATAGAGAAGCCCTGTTCTGAGAAAGAAGTGGGAGGGGACGACAGTGTAGTGCTGTTGCCTATGGAATTCTGTCTCCCTTGATTCATTTTGAGGTCCTGCAGGGGAATGACTTGGGGGTGGGGCTTATATCAGGGATTCTAAACTTCTGTGAGGATTTCTAGAGTACAAGAATAGAAACAGTAGAAAAAATAGAGAAATAAAGGCGGACATGGAGCAAACAGAAAGAACATAGGCAGACAGGTGAACAGAGAAGGCAGTGAGAAGACACAGACACAGAAAAAAAAAACCAGACAGTGCAGAGAGAGAAAGGAAACTGAACCGAGGCAGGACAAAGAGCTAGAGCAAAGGCTAAGGGAGGTACAGAGGGCAGCCAAAAGGCTGCCTTCCACCCGTCCTCCCTCTCACCTGAGCGGCTCTTGCTGTTGGTGAGGATGTCCTGCAGCCGCTCCTGCAGCTTGTCAGCGCGTTTCCGCTCCAGGTGCAACTGCCGCTTAAGGTCTTTGAGCTAAAGGTTAGTGTGTGCAGGGGGAGGGAAGAGCTGTGGTCCTTAAAGGAACCATATAAACGGTGCATAAAGGAGGGGAGGAGATCACAGGCCTTGCTAGCTTACCGCAGCACTACCCTTCTTTTCCAGGATCCGCTGCCCATCCACTGTGTCCTTTACCTCCTGTGGTCAGAGAAGGCACAGTCGGCAGGTGACGGCACAGCTGCCTGCAGTACGCCCCCTCCCCGCCCCGTTCTGCAAGCTCGGGCCATGGCTATGTGTGGGGCCATAGAGATACCACAGACCTGCTTCAGGCTGCTGATGGTCTTCACATGACCGTCTCGCTCCTCCTGGGCCTGCTGGAGCTGATCCCGCACATCCTGAAGCTCTTCCTCCTTGCCCTGCAGAGCGGACAACAGCTCAGGCCACTGCATGAGAAGTGGTACCTGGTACCCAGAGGCAGGAACATCATCATGCGAGAATCACCTTCAACTCAGCAGCATGCTCCTCCCGGCACTGCTTGAGGGCTTCCTCTTGTTCCTGTTGCTGCTGCTGCAAGGATTCCTATAAAAAGAGTCACAGGTCTGCTCATGGCCCTCAAAGATGGTGTGTCCAGTCAAGGGCATGTGGATCTCAGCAGAGTTCTTGGGGTATGACTAAAGCACCTTTTTGCTATGAAACAAGGTCTCAGGATATAGCCTGCACTGGCCTTGAACCCTCAATCTTCCCTCAGCCTGTTGAGTGCCATGTCAGGCACAAACATCTTGTAGGAAACAGCACATGCCCTAAGGCAGAAGCATGAAGTGGAAGCCCGCATCCATCATTCACAGAGTAGATCAAGTGATTTACATTTATACTTCTTTATTTAACAAAACAACACCGCGGGGGCTGGAGAGATGGCTCAGAGGTTAAGAGCACTGCCTGCTCTTCCAGAGGTCTTGAGTTCAATTACCAGCAACCACATGGTGGCTGACAACCATCTACAATTCAATCTGGTGTATATGTAATAAATAAAAAAATCTTAAAAAAACAAAACAAAACAACACCGCACGCCAGGGATATTCAAATGGTTGTACATATAGTAAGTCATTTTCTATAATCTTCCTAAAGTACCTATTCAGTAAGACATTATTTTCATCATTAATATTTTTGCTACTGGGAATTGAACCTGAGAGGCCTCATTCATGTAACCAATGAATTACACTCTGTCCCTCTTACCCCTTTCTGCCAAAGCTGAAAACGGGCCATAGAGAGATGAAACATGTGGCATAAGGTCACACAGCTAGAAGTGGCCCAGCCAGCATGCAAACTTAGGGAAAGCTCTGACTCCAGTGTGTGCTCGTCTCTGCTACAGGAAACTGCCTCTTTTTTTTTTTTGTTTTTCGAGACAGGGTTTCTCTGTATAGTTTTGGAGGCTGTCCTGGAACTCGCTCTGTAGACCAGGCTGGTCTCGAACTCACAGAGATCCGCCTGCCCCTGCCTCCCGAGTGCTGGGATTAAAGGCGTGCGCCACCAATGCCCGGCGAAACTGCCTCTTCTTATTGCCATGACTTCTTGTTAAAGCAAAAATTAGTGTATAACCAAATTGGGAAGATTGTATGTTATAACTTTTTGGCAGAGGACCAATCCAGGAGGAAGAAATGCTGTTCAAATGCACACAAAGGCAGAGCATGGGTACCCCTAACCAGCTTTGCACATTTACCAAGTACCATCAACTTACCTCAGCCTCCTTCAAGCGCCGTTCAAACCAGCCCTTGGCTCCATCCATGGAGTGAACCTGAGCCTGAAGTTCTTCCACTGTGTGCTGAAGAGTCTCCAGTTCCCTTGTTCGAGCCTGGAAGGGGAAGACAGTCAGGAGTCGGGCAGCAGAGGACCGGGCACCCTGCATATCACCTACCTGCCCACCGGAAACATCACGGTCTTCAGCTTTAGAGGACAAAAGGCATCGTTACCCCACTCACCTTCTCCTCCCGAATCTGCCCCCGGAGCTCCTCCTCCTGCCGTTTCTTGTCCTCATGCAGCTCTCGAAGCTCCCGCTCGTACCGGGCTCGTACCCCGAGCAGCTCCTTCTCATGCCGTAATCGGACAGCTCCCAGCTCTTCTTTGTGCTGGGTCTTCTCCTGCATTGACTCCATCGCTAGCTCATCTAGCATGGCCTTCCGTTTCTCAGCGCTCTGGGGGCCAGGACGGTGGACCAAGAGAGTAGCAGTTAACTTTATCTCCCAACACCACAAAATGACCACCATTTTGTTTCATGCCCAAGAACTAGCCAGAGTCCAACTCTTCCCTGGCCCTTCAAACTGGCTGAGTCATTCTCCCATCCTTTAGGAGGTCATTTTCTTTCTCTTTCTGTTCCTAAGATTCGACCTTATCACTTCCCTCATGGACTGGGCCATCTCTTTCCTTCTTCCCATGATACCTTCCGAGCTTCCTGCAGGTCTTGTGTCAACTGCTCCTTCTCTTGCCCCATTTCTTGAAGTTGTTCCAGCAGTCGGCTATTGGCCCTTAATGACTCCTAATTCAGTAAAGAAGGGGAAAAGTTTGAGGAGAGTCCCTAGCAGGTGCCAATCATCTAGAACACCTCTGGCAGACCTTCCCCCTACTAAAGCAGGTGTTATAATCACAATCATAATGGGAAATGACACAGGCTGCAGCTCGCTCCCCAACTTATTCTCCCCTATTCCCTTAGCAACAGAATTTAAGTCAGGAATATGATAGTCTAACGTATTTCTCCCTCCTCCTTCACAAACAGGTAGAGACATGTGATTCATTTCTTGTTTCTTTGTATTTTTTTCTCTTTTTTGAGACAGGGTCTCACTGTGTATCCCTGGCTTGCCTGGAACTCTCTATGTAGACCAGGCTGAGGTCGAACTCATCTGCCTCTGCCTCCTTTTTGCTGGGATTAAAGGTATGATCAGTCATGCCAAGCTCCTTTCCTTTCTTTTCCTTTCCTTTTCGAGACAAGGTCTTATGTCAAAAGACTGTTTCTTGAGATAGTACCTCATCTCAAACGTGTTAGGTAGCCAACAATGACCCTGAACTCCTAATTCTGCCTTTACCTAACAAATGCCAAGATTACAGGCATTGGGCACCATGTCTGGGTTTATTTTCCTTCTGAACAAGCTCTGGCAAGTTTTATTAAAGACAAAATTTCCTGGTTTACTTTTCACCAGTCTGTTCTGGCATGCTTCTAATACCAGAATCACAAGGGGCAACGAAGCCAGTGCACATACTCTGTACTATCTCCCATATGCTGTGCCCAACTCAATATTAGTGCCCAATTCAATATTGGTGTGGTGATGGACAACAGTTTTAGCCAACATGGAATAATAGTGCCCTATTTGAGATTGGCTCAAAGCTGGGCAGTTGCTGGTAAGGATAACCAACTTCAATTTTCCCTGTTTGGTCATCTTCAGAGTCTGCTCGTATCCCAGCACGCATTCTCCACTTTTCAAAAAAATCTGCACCTAGAGTTGATCAACTCCAGAGACATTTTCATCTTCTTTGCAGCCACCATCATTCTCCCTTAGGTGCATAACAACTCCCAATCAAGAGCGGCCTCTAAGATGGCCAAGAACCAGAAAGCTTGTTTTTTTTTCTTTCTCTTTTATTTTCTTATTTCTTTTTTCCTTCCTTCCCTACCATTTCTTTCCTTTTGTTTTGCTTTGGATCAAGTTCTCTCCATGTAATCCTGGTTGTCCTGGGACTTACTATGTACACCAGGCTGGTCTTGAACTCAAAGAGATCTGCCTACTTCTGCCTTCCAGGTGCTAGGATTAAAGGTGTGTGCCATCATATTTGACCTGTGTTTCTTTTTTGAGACTGGGTCTTACTCTGTTGCCCAGGCCAGCCTCGATTCCTTGATTCAAACACTCCTACCTCAGTTTCCCAAGCAGTTAGGAATAGAGAAAAGCATCCCTGTGCCCCACCTCAGGTGATTAATTTATATCTAGAACTGGTGAATGCAACTTATATCTTTAATTTATTATTATGATTTCTGTTTGTTTTTCAAGACAGGGTTTTTCTGTGTAGCTTTGGAGCCTGTCCTCATTCTCCTTGCTAGACCAGGCTGGCCTGGAACTCACAGAGATCCACCTGCCTCTGTTTCCCGAGTGCTGGGACTAAAGGCATGCATGCGCCACCACAACCACCTAGCTTTGTTTGTTTGTTTTTGAGACAGGGTCCCATTATGTATCCCTGGCTGGCCTCAAACTCATGGAGATCTATCTGCCTCTGTCTCCTCTAGAATTCTAAAGCTTGGAATAAAGATGTGTGCCACCTGTTATTTTTTTTAAGACACAGTCTGGCCTCAAATTCACAATCCTCCTGTCTTAGCCTTTTTACCTACACTTTTATTTATTTATTTATTTATTCATTATAGATTTATTTTATGTGTATAGATGTATTGCTTGTATGTATGTCTGTGCACCACACGCGTGCCTGGTGCCCAGGGAGGCCAGAAGATCTCCTGGAACTGAAGTTAGGACAGCTGTGAGCTGTCATGTGCACACTGAGAATTGAACTCTGATCCTCTGAAAAGCAGCCAGTGTTCTTAACTGCTGAGCCATCTCTCCAGCCTCATCTCAGCTTTCTGAGTGCTAGGATTATAGGCATGAACCACCATACTCAGCAGCCTATGTTCTTGAAAGAAAGGAAGGTGCTCTTTTTTAGTCGCTGTTCCCCTTCCTTTTTCCTTCTGTATAACATGTAAATATGAAGCAGAAACACTTTCAACAACTATCCTGGAAGCAAAGGCTGTAAAATAGCACAGGAGAAAGAACCTAGGACACTGGCGATCAGTTGTCCATAATTCAAGACAGGTGTGGCGGCTCATGCCTGTAATAGCAGCTCTCGGAGGCTAAGACAGGATAACTGCCGTGAGTTTGAGGCTAGCCTTGGCTATACAATGAGTACCAGGCCAGCCAGGAATACACAACAAACAACTGTCTCAAACAATTAAACAAAAAGGAAAAAAATCATTACCACCATTCATTCCTGAACAACCTACTTAGTATTTTGTTTGTTTTTCTTTTTGAGACAAGGTCTCACTCTGTAGCCTAGGCTGGGCTTAAATTTATAGCAATCCTCCTGCCTCAGGCTACTGAGTGCCACCATGCCAAGCTCCCTACTTAATTGTTTTACATAAAAGGAAACTAAAGTTGTATGCACACGTGCCTGTGTGTGTGTGTCTGGGGGGGGGTCCTTTGTATGCACAGGTGCACACATATAGGCAGAGACCAGAGGAGGATACTGGGTTATCTTCCTCTCACTTTTGACCTTATTTCTTTGAGGCAAGGTCTCTCACTAAATCTGTTGCTCATAGTTTTTGGTTAGGCTGCTTAGTCACCAAGCCCCAGAAATCCTCCTGTCATCACCCCTCCACCCTCCAGCACTGGAGTTATGGGCACACTTTTTTTTTTTGGTTTTTTCGAGACAGGGTTTCTCTGTGTAGTTTTGGAGGCTGTCCTGGCACTCGCTCTGTAGACCAGGCTGGCCTCGAACTCACAGAGATCCACCTGCCTCTGCCTCCTGAGTGCTGGGATTAAAGGCGTGCGCCACCAACGCCCGGCTTGGGCACACTTTTTACATGGTGCTGGGATCTGAACTTAGATCTTCAAGCTTACAAAGCAAGCACTCTAACCCACTGAACCATCTCCTCAGCACCCCACTTTAATACAAGATCTGCTCATGAGGCCCGAACTGGCCTCAGTCTTGCTATATAGTTAGGATACCCTTAAACTTCTGATCTTCCTGTCTCTGCCTCCTAAGTGCCGAGATCACAAGTGTATATCACAGAGCCTGTTTTATGCAGTGCTGTGGATTGGATCCTGGGCTTTGTGCATGCTATACAAGCACTTTGTTAACTAAGCTGGATCACCAGCCCTACACTTTTTTTTCTTGAGACAGAGTCTCACTATGTAGCCCTGGCTATCCTGGAACTCACTATGTAGACCAGGCTGGCCTCAAACTCAAAGACATCTGCCTGCCTCTGCCTCCCAAGTGCTGGAATTAAAGGTGTGCACCACTATGTCTGGCCCAAAATTTCTTTCTTATTTAATCCAGTATTTTTTTTGGTTTTTTCAAGACAGGGTTTCTCTGTGGCTTTGGAGGCTGTCCTGGAACTCGCTCTTGTAGACCAGGCTAGTCTCAAACTCACAGAGATCCGCCTGCCTCTGCCTCCCGAGTGCTGGGATTAAAGGCCTGTGCCACCACCACCTGGCTAATCCAGTATTTTTTCCTTTGATTTTTTTCAAGACAGGGTTTCTCTGTGTAGCCCTGGCTGTCCTGGAACTTGCTCTATAGACCAGGCTGACCTTGAACTCACAGAGATCCACTTGCCTCTGCCTCCCGAGTGCTGGGATAAAAGGTGTACACCACTACTGCCTGGCCTTAATCCAGTACTATTCTAGTTTCTTCAGGATAAGCATCCTTCATCCTAAAACTCAAAATCTGAAACTTTTTTATGTTTCTTTCAGGAAAGGTCTTACTATATAGCCTTGGGTGGTCTATTATTCACTCTGCAACTAAGACCAGCCTAAAGTTTATGACAACCCCCCTGCCTCAGCTACCCGAATGCTAGGATTATAGGCATACACCTGCATACCTGGCTTAAAATCTGAAAATTTGAGGGTATGCACAAAATGCCACATATGGGAATTCCACACCTCGTTACCTATGATGGGTCACTCTCACAATGCATAAGTGTGGTAGCAGACACTTTTAATTTCCGCAGTTGTGTGGCAGAGGCAGGTGGAGCTCTGTGAGTTCAAGGCCATTCTGGTCTACATAGCAAGTACTAGGCTTACATAGAGAGCTCTATCTTGTCTTAAAAAAAGCAAGAGCACTAAAATGTTTTATAAAATTACCTTCAGGCTATATGTATAAGGTATGTTTAGATTTAGGTTTCATCCCCAAAACATCTTAATAATTCTATGCAAATATTCCCAAATGAGACAAAAATCTGAAGAAAACACAAACATTACATGTTTGTACATCATGATACCAGAATGGAAACTTTAACTGAGGAAGCTCAGTTTTGCAAAAATAAAATTCCCCACATCAGGCATATAGATACTAGGATGTTAAGGATCCAGCCAAGAATGCAGGTCTCTCTGACTCCAAAATCTTCTCACTATTCCTAAAGGGCAATCCACGGCACCAGCACTAGGAAACTACAAGTCAGGGCAGAAAAGCATCACCTGGAGTTGGGAGTTGAGGTCATCTTTCTGTCCCATAAGATCTTCATATTCAGTCTGCCGATGCTGTAACTCAGCTGCCAATTCAGTGGTCTGGTCCCGAAGCATGTTCAGTTCTTGTGTCTTTGCTGTCTGGATCTGCAGAAAGTAGCAATGGTATGAAATGGAATGCAGGGAGCCCTAATGCCCAGGAACTCCTGGGCCTCTAAATTCCAGGGAGATAGAGGAATATGAAGAGAGGTAGAAAGACGCAAACTTTAAAACAGAAAAGCAGAGAGGTTAGTGGAATTTTCGTGCAGTAAAATACTACACAGTGATAAAAGAACCCATGGCACATACTGATAAAGCTCACAGATGTAGAAGTACCAGAAAGCAGGCAAGGACAAAATAGCATCAATTTCATTTACATGAAAGAAATAAAGAACATGAATCTATGTTGCTAAAGGTCAGAATATTGGTTAATTCCAAGGATATGCTGGCTAGAAAGGTGAAAGGATCTTCTAGCATACTAAAAATGCTCTGTATCTTGTTCTGGAAGGTGGCTACATGGAGTTATAAAGGAATATGAATGGACAGACACATTAGATTCACTGAGCACACACTTAAAGATCATTACATTTCATGCACTTTATTATAGAGAAACTAGAATGCCAGAAAAGCAGGAATAGATGGAGAAGAAGGCTGGAAGTCAACAGAAAAGAGGAACAGAAACAGAAACCACAGAAGACTAAAGGGTCCAGACCAACCTGGCCAGGTGTGGACCAAAAGCAGAGAGAGATAAAGGAAACAGGAAAAGATCAGAAAGGACTCCCAGATGTCCTGTACCTGCTCCAGAGCAGCCAAGCTAGTCCTCAAGGCATTGTTCTCAGCCAAAAGCCCTTCCACTTGTTCCTGGGCATCTGCACTCTGGATGGACACCTGGCCCCACCCCCATGACAGGTGAGAGCAGGTCCAGAACAGAGGGACAGGACCTACCCACAGCCAAGAAAGAAAGGAGACAGACACACGGACACACAGACCAGGACTAGGAAAAGCAAGACCCCCTCGTTGCCCATAAAATACCAACTCAGTCTGCTGCCACCCTCAAGCCCAGCTCCCAATCCCACAAGTACAACATACCTGATCTTGTAGGGCCCGCAATGCTGCTGCATGCTCCAGGCGCTCCCCCTGCCGCTGATCTCTTAGCTCAGCCAAGCTCTGTGGGAAGTCAGGTAATGCCATTCCAGACCTTACCCTTCCCTGGGTGCACACAGACACAGACTCCCTCTGTGACCACCTAAAAGCCTGTTCCCAGCACCTGTGAGGCTTGAACTAGCTATCAGAGGCCTCAGGTTCACACAGACTCCAAGCTATAATGCATAGGGCTCTCAAACACATTCACTTCCTCTCTCCCAGCCTCTAACCATTTCTGACATGCCAAAGTTCCTGAACCTAGCTTCTGAGGAGTTCATAGTCACACAGATTCAAGATTGGGAGCCCCAGGATGTTCGGCCCCTAGGAACTGTGACTTTACCCATCTCCAAACTCTAACGACCAGGAGTTGTTGATATACTTAACCCCATGTCCCAAACTTAGAAGCCACAGTTCACACAAACTCCTGCTCCAGACCCTAAAGATCGCAAACTCATGACCTCATTTCCAGCTCTTGAAGAAGCCTCAGACTTCCCCATCTCCACTACCACACTGGCTTCCCATCTCTGGGAATCTTCAGACCTAGATCACCAACAGCTCCTGAGGATTTTGTCTAGAATCTGTCCCAGCCTCCGCACTGCAATCTTCTAGGGGCCCTGTTCCCACAAGCTACCATATCCTCCATTCCAAGACACTTCAGACTTGCCCTCTCAGGGGAAATCCAGGGCTTTAAAGTCAGACAGCCCTGCTCCCCAGGAACTGCACACCCATGTAGACTTCCATTCCAGTCTTTGGAGGTCTCAGCTTTTCACTGCCACCAAGGGTCTTAGAACCTCAGGATCACCCCCTCACATGAACACACTTCTTTTTTTTTGGCTTTGGTTTTTCAAGACAGGGTTTCTCTGTGGCTTTGGAAACTGTCCTGGAACTAGCTCTTGTAGACCAGGCTGGCCTTGAACTCACAGAGATCCGCCTGCCTCTGCTTCCCAAGCGCTGGGAGTAAAAGCGTGTGCCACCACTGCCCATCGAGAACCCAATTCTTTTTTCATTTTTTTATTTTTTATTTTATGTGCATTGATGTTTTGCCTGCATAAGGCTGTGTGAGGATGCCAGATCCCCTGGAACTGGAGTTACAGACAGCTGTGAGCTGCCACGTGGGTGCTGGGAATTGAACTTGGGTCCTCTGGAAGAGCAGCCAGTGCTCTTAACCACTGAGCCATGTCTCCAGCCCTGAGAACCCACTTCTTAACATCACAGAACCAAAACAGCTTTCCGAAGCCTGAAGGTCTCAACTATATACTCTGACTCCAGTCCCAACTACCCCAAATTTGAAAGTCCAGTGTCTATTCAACCCTTATGTCTTTGAGCCCTTGCAGTCTCCAATATACTGGTATCACAGCTTTTTAAATTATTATTATTATTATTATTATTATTATTGGAACAGGATCTCATTGTATATCTCTGTCTGGCCTTGAACTCAGAGTTTTACCTGCCTCTACCTCACAAGTGCTTGGACTAAAGGTATACACCATTATACCCAGCTTTTAAAGGTCTCAGCATCACCCAGTTTCTACTGAGAGAGTTCCACAGCTCACATTTACCCTAATTCTTGGTCCCAGACCCCAGTGAGAGTTCTGTTTCATACAAACTTGTGGCACACAATCAGAGCCCTTACACTCCCACCTTAGGATCTCTGACTGACATAAATTCTTAATCCAACACCCAGGGCTCTTGAGTTTCTGAGTTTCCATTTTTCTAGCTCTTAGGGGGCTTACACATACCTATCAGGTTGCAACATTTCCAAATCTCAGACATCCCAATTAGCCTCTAAAGACCTCATGTTTCCTAAGACTGTCCGCTCCAAGAATCTTGGGACCCAGGCCCCATCACCTGATTGGCAGCCTCAAGCTCCTGCTGCAGCTTTTGGGTGCGAGCCAACTGGGCTTTGAGATCAGCTTCCTTTCGCTGTTGTAATTCTTCAATTTTGTTTCTAGGGGTGACAAGGATAGAGTACATTAGGCATAGCTAGAGGCCCAGTCTCCCATCTCTACCCCTGTGGTCTTTGGTTAATTTGGCTGGGCATGGTCCCTGTTTTTCTACTACTGACAACCTCAGTAGTTACCTGCTATCATTAAACAGTGTCTCTTTCTCCGTCTGAAGACGGCAAAAACTGAACATAGAAAGACATAGATACATTATTTCCACAAGTCAATCCCTTTATCTCCAGGCCCCCAAAAACCCTGGAAAAGAAAAGTATACCTTTCCTGTTTCTTTTTCAGTTTCTCAGAGAGCTGAGGGAGAAAGAGGAAGGACAAATATAGACAAATAATAATGAGAATATTAATAAAATAAAATAAATAACAATACTTACAGATACTTCATATTGAGTCCGTCCTACAAGTTGGGTTTTACTTATGATATTCTTTCGGAATTCTCAAGACATCCTTGAGAACTGAGAACTACTGATTTTATAAGTGGGTAAACTGAGTCTCAGAAGGGCTAAGCAATTTGATGGCCCAGTTGTTAGCAGCAGCAACACAATTTCCAGCTAGCTCCCTTGGACGCCAAAGGCCATTACATATGTTCCTAAAGCAGCAGTTAATGGCCACATCACGGAATGGCTAGGCTGGGAGGCCTGGAAAGTAGGATTTTGATAGGTTGTCTCGCCACTGGCCCCCAGGCTCTAAGGGCATTCTTACATGGATGAATCGGCAAAGCTGCGAGGAAACAGAAGGGATGGGGCCTGCCATGCACAAAGTAGAATGGGACCACATTAGCTTATTCCACAATGAGAGCAACTCTGAGCTTTGTGAGCCTGTATTTCACACATGATCAAATTGAAGCTCTGAGGATGCACAATGCTCCTCTGCTGTCAGGAGAAAGCCAGGCGGCGGCAAACCCCACCTTAGCAAGTTCCTCCTGTAGTCTGGAGGTTTCAGCTTGCTTTGAGCTCTGCGGGTGGTGAGGGGGGAAGATAAGGGATGGAGTTGTTATCATCAAGGATGGAGTAAGGCCTCTACTTTTGCCTGTCCCGCCTCCCTTTAGCCCAGGAGATGGTGATGTCACAGACATCTCCATGGGCCCACAGGCAGGAGTAGGGCATCTGCTGTCTCCCAGCATCCCAGTCCCAAAAGGCCCAGATTTACCTCTAAGCCTTGCAGCTGCTCCCAGAGCAATTTCTTTTCTTCTTTCTCCATTTCCCATTTCAGTTCCACTTCTGCTAATGGCATGGGGGACAGGGCAGTGGGGAGTATATCTCCTGGGGGATCCCCTTGGCCCTCACTGGCAGCTGAGAACCTCACAGTCTCTTTCTCATAGCGTTCCTGCAGTGCTGTTGAGTAGGCAAGAATGTATTATGGGGTGCTAGAGAGATGGCTCGGCAGTTAAGAGCACTGGTTGCTCTTCCAAAGGCCCCAGGTTCAATTCTCAGCACCCACATGGTGGCTGACAACTGTCTATAAGGGGATTCAATACACTCCTCTGGCATGCAGAGGAACATGCAAAACACTCATATATAAGAAATATAAAGAAAGAAAAAAGAGTGTCTGATGAATGAAATTGTCTCTGAAGCCTCTTGTTATGTCTCAAATACAGGGATAACTATTTATCCTTCAGCGTCTCGGGATGCACAGGACCCTACCCCAGATGAATCATCATTCAAGCCTGTCACATAACTTTTAAGTCCCACCAACCTCTAAAATCCTATCTACCACGTTCCATACCATATCTGCACATATAACCTAATCCTACCCATATTGTACCTGGTCTCATTCCTGACTGTGGAAGTAGCACCCACCACCATATAAGGCCCAGCTACTCACCAAAGGTCCACGTGTCAGGCCCTGCTCAAGCTGTCTTTCCGCCTTCATCTCACAGCCTATTTACAATCTGGGCTCAGAATCTTCCCAGTGTTCTATTACTGCTTAGTCAATATCTCCTTTTCAACAGTCATTCTGCTGTTCTTTAACATCTGCTAAAAACCATACACTGAACTAACGCAGAGTGAAACCTCCATCTTCCTGGCACAAATATTCTGGTGTACAATGTAGATGAGTAAGTTTAGACTCAGAGAGATAAAATACCCTCCAAACGTAAAATCACACACTAGGGCAGGCAAGGCCAAGTCTCACTCTGGAATTTCCTCTCCTTTCCCATAAGAGGACTGTATCCATGCTTGCTCTGCTCAAGATGTGAGGTCCCTATATCCCAGGAAGGCCTCCATGCACCTGCCACGTTCTTCTGCAAGGCTGTGTTCTCTGCCTGCAGCCTCAGAAGCTCCCCATCCACATGTGGTCCAGCTTGAACATTTCCTGCTCCAGTAGTCCCTTCCTTCAGTTGCCGGTTCTCTAGCTCCAGCTGCTCCAGCTGGCTACAGAGCTGAGCAGGGGGAGAGAGATGACAGAGAAATAGCAAATCAGAACAATATCCACCAAAACACAAATAGCACTCAGCCTCTCAGTGTACAATTCATTACATTCCCACAGAAACCCTTAATGTAGTTCCTCTTATACTTTGTGGATACAGACACCGAGACACAGAGATATTAAACCATTTCCAATTTACACAACTGTTAAGTAGCGAAGTCAAAAAGGGTGAGAACAACCTTCCCTTTTGCCAATTCCTGACCTCTCAGATGCAAAGACCTCAGCTGCTAAGCACCATGGACAGACCCACTGACACTCTCCACCTATCTGTGGAAAAATGTCTAGATCCCTGGGTCCAAGGACAGCTCCCTCTCAACCCAGGCATCACAGACAGCTTGCAAGACATTTCCAGAGTAAACCCAGCTTACAGTTTTTATACTTCCAGTCTTTAGCTTTGGAGAGGTACGCCATGGAAATAACATTCAGTGGGCCCCAACTGTTCATTCACTTCTGGTTAAAACAACAGTTTCGCAAGACAATCACCTTGTCTTCACTTTCAGATCAGACTGCTGAGGCCCACAATTTTTTAATTTTATTGCCTAGGATATAACATCATTTCTTTCAACCATTTCTTCACCTGACTGGCTTCTATACATCCTTTAATGCTCTACTCAGATGTCATCTTTAAAGCAGGGTTAGCTAACACAAATTCCAGTATTTTACCACAGCATTCTCTGTTCACTTATTTCTGACCTAGTATCAATCACCATTAAACTTATTTGTTGCTGGTGTTTCTTTTTTATCTTATTTTGTGGGTTTTGTGTGGGTTGTTTTGTTGTTGTTGTTGTTATTGGTTTATTCGCTGGTTGTTGTTTTTTAAAACAGAATCTCACCATGTAGCCCAAGCTGATCTTGAACTCAAAATCTTACTTCAGTTTTCTAAATGCTGGGATTACAGGCATGTACTACCACCATGCCTGGCTAAATTTTATTTTGTAACATGGAATCACAAAACAGAATCTGAAACTACATTGATTGGACATGAATTCCTACTCTATCATTTACCAGCTGGGTGATCTTGGGATAAATTACTTCACCTCCATGGGGCTCAAGTTTCCTCATCCATTAAAAGGGGATGCTAAAAATATTTTATAATTGCATTGTTAAGAATTGAATAAATAATGTAGAACAATTAAAATGGGAATAGCTATAGAAGAAATAGCATTACTAAACTATCATTATTACTATTCCCCCTACCCCACCTACAAAATATCAGTATTCTGGACAGTCAACTTTACACAAGCTAGGGTCATCTGGGAAGGGAAAACCTCAATTGAGAAAATGCCTCCATCAGCTTGGCATGTAGTTGAGTATGTTGGACATTTTCTTGACTAATGATTGATATGGGAGGACCCAGTCCATTGTAAGTGGCGTCACCCCTGGAATGGTGGACAAGGGGGGTATAGGCAAGGAGGCTGAGTGATCCATGGAGAGCAAGCTAATAAGCAGTGTTCCCTCCATTGCCTCTGCTTCAGGCCTTGCCTCCAGTTCCTGACTTGGCGTCCCCCAATGATGAATTGTGACGTGTAAGACAAACAAATGCTTCCTCTCCAGGTTTGTTTTGGTCAGTGTTTTATCACAGCAATTGAAAGCAAACTATAACAGCAAGTCACCCAAGACTTAGGACCATTCTGTGCAGCTCACGACTTTATTTCCAGAACACAGAATACGTAGCAGGTCCCTTTAACTATTTGTCTGAAGAGCAAGTGAGCTGATGACATATCTTGGCAGGCTCTAGCATCATGTCTTTCTGTAAATACCATCAAGGCCTGAGAGGAGTAGGAAGGGGAAAGTGAAGGATCCCAGAGTTGGTGCAGAAAAACACGGCTAGTAGTTATGAGAGCACCAGAAAGCTCCAGGGACCAGGGAGAGGGGCTCATACCACAAAGTATTAATTAAAGTGCAATAAAATCTGGAGGCTGAAATTACTTCTGTGAAATAGTGGAGTGGACCAATAGAGAAATCTAGGAGTAAGGAGATCGGAAGGCTGCGGAAGCACAGCAGATGAGAGGGGTAGAGGTGAGGCAGGTCAAAGACACAGAATGAACACAAACATGTTGCACACTAAGCAAGCACTCTTCCACTGAGCCATATTCTAAGTTCCTACTTATAAAACACCGCCTTCTCCTTTACCTTCTTTTGCTCTCCCATCCGCTGGAAAGGGATGGGGATGTGGCACAGTGATAGAACACATGCTTAGCATGCACGATCCCTGTGTTGGATCTTCATCACCACAAGCAAGGCATGAACTAATGAGATAATGTCACTAGTGAACACTTCCATAGTTCATACTATTTAAGTGACTTACATACATTTACCCACTGAATCCTCATAAAAGCCCTGTGAGGCAGGTGTTTCTATCATCACTATTTCCATTTTAAACATTTGAGAATGAAAAATTAGGAGGCTAAGTGACTTGCTTAAAGTTATAGTTAGTAAAAGGTACAGCCAAGATCTTAATCTAGGCCTTCTAGTTCCAGGGTTTTTACTCAGAATTACTGACTGCTAAACTGCTTCTTCTGGCATTGCAACTACTTAAAGATTGATGTTTGTTGTATTCTGCCTTTTGTATTTTTGACTTTTTAAATATTTTTCTTTATTCTTTGATTTGTCATGTAGCCCAGTCTGGCCTAGAACTCACTATGTAGCTGAGGATGACCTTAAGCTTCTAATTCTCCAGTCTCTACTGCCTAAGTGCTAAAATTACATGCATGTGTCACCACACACAGTTTATGCAGTGCTGGGGATCGAACCCAGGATTTCATTCATGTGAGTCAGGCACTCTGCCAATTAAGTCATTTCTCAGAGCCTTGTGTGTTTTTTGTTGTTATTTTTGACAATTTCTTATTGTATGCATGTATTGTGATCGTATTCCTCTTATTTTGTTTTTTAAAGCAGTGTAAGCCCATCAGATAAGTACTTGGAAATAACTTTTTTTCCTACAGAATATTTTTCCTTAAAACACAATGAAACTCACAAAATGATCAACCATGGGTACAGAAGACTAATAGGAGAATAAAACACAGGATTGCCAACAGCCCAGTAGGGTTAGCAACAGCCAGGACATTAAAATCAGTAAGGAGATAGAATTAGTCAATCCAGGACGAATTACCTGGAAGAAGTGGAACCCCAGACTCATGTCAGATGAAGGAAAGAAAAAGAAAAGGGAAGCAGTTCAAACACTTTTCCATCCATGTTAAGCAATAACTTTACTTAAAGCCCCAGAACACACTGGGGCTCCATAGTGCCAGCCAAACACTATGCAAATGGAGACTTGAATTAAATAAAATGAGTGACTTAGGAACCAAATGAACTCAGGGCTCAAAGGATCTAATTCCATGAATGTTTGGCCCCACCTGTCAAATCCCTGCCCCCAACAACAGACTAAGGCCTGTTTCAGCACCAAGGACAGCGCCCAGCGCCAGCCCCTGTCCACCCTCTACTGCTGAGCTTTACAGCCTAGGTGGCTCTTGCCCATGCATACACAGGCGCACCATTCCCATTGCCCCCCTCAGCTATCCCGGGCACCAGCACCTTGCTGAACTCGGCCATAAGTGTACTGTTCTGCAAACGGAAGTCCTCCTCCTGGCTGTGCAGCTTTGCCTGCAGCATCTCATTTTCACTCAGCAGTACCTCCACTTCCTGTAGTGGCAGACATGGGCCAGGACTCCAACAGGGGCAGAAAGGATGGGGAGGTAGGCAAAGAAGAGAGAAGGGAAAATGGCATCGGGTAGGAAGCATACAGGGTAGAAAGAATGAGGCAATATATAGGAAGAAAGACGTACAGGGAAGGAGACAGAGACAGAGAGGGCAAGAGACACATGGAAAAGTAGGGGGAAGAAATGGGAAGGGAAATATAGGGGTTGAGGGGAAAGAGAAATAATGACAGGGAGATGGAGAAAGGATAGAAGACAGGGAATGAGGGGGGATCAGGAAAAAAGGCAGGAAAACAGGAACAAAGTGGTTTCAACAGGAAAAGAATATAGCAAAGAGAAGAGAGAAGGGAGGGGTTTAGGAAAACCAATGAGTAAGGAAAATAGAGGAATACGAGAAAGAAAAACAAGAAGTCAGAAACAGAAAGGAAAACCAGAACAGAGAAATGAAAGTGACAAAAACAGGTGGAAGACAGACAAAGGGAAAGTTGAAGAGAAGAAGGGGGGGGAGACAGGAAGGCAGAGACATAGATTCATGAGGAGACAAAGTGTGAAAAAACACAGGAAGACAAAGACATAGAAATGCACAGCAGTAAGGAAGTTGCAGATAAATGGATGTACATAGATAAAGGCCAGTACAATGCCACCAAATATCCCCACTAGGACAGTCTTGCACACATATTCACCCACCAAAGGCCCCCTTACCTGAGCTTTCTTGCTCTTGCTTAGTGCCTAAAAGGAAGGGTGGAAGAGAGCTAAGGTGAACAGCAATGGACCCCTCTGTGGGCTATAGAGACTAATGTGGCAGGTATTAAGTGAAGGCAATGGTGTGCTGTAGGATGGAAATATGTTTAAACACAGAACTTTCATAACAATTGGAAGCCCACAGAAATAACAGAAGAAATGAGCAAAGAACGACTGGGAATTCTGGTGCCTTGGTGCCACAGCACTCAAAAAATAGTTTCCTTTCTTCTATGCTCTTAAGAGTTTGAGGGAGAGGGGGAAATAGTGCCTTAGAATTTAACCCTTTATATACTGGATCTCCAAGTTAGAAAACCGTGGCTTTACCACTACATCTGTTCAAACACATCAATGTGCTTCCCTTTCATGTAACATAGCAACTTATGTCCCTCTGCTTGGCAGCCAAGGCTTTGCACATCAACACCCTACTAAGAACTCCAGTTTCCTAACTGTCAGATTTTCTGAATTCTGTATCATTCACCAAACAAGTATTTTAAAATTTTTACTTTACTATATATTTATTTGTGTGTGTGTGTGTATTTGTGTGTGTGTGTGTGTGTGTGTATTTGTGTGTGTATGTATGTGTGTGTATTTGTGTGTGTGTGTGTGTGTGTATTTGTGTGTGTATGTGTGTGTGTGTATTTGTGTGTGTATGTGTGTGTGTGTGTATGTGTGTGTGTGTGTGTATTTGTGTGTGTATGTGTGTGTGTGTGTGTGCGCCTGCGCATGGCACACACTTGAGTGCACAGCTTGCACATGGAGGTCAGAGAATAACTTCATGGAGTCAGTTCCCCTTCCACATTTCTAAAAAATTATTCATTTGTGTGTATGAATGCAAGCAATGCTCTTGAAAACCAGAAGAGCGCATCATATCTCCAGGAACTGGAGTTAGCTGGTTTGGGAGATGCCCTCTGAGTGGGGGGGATGGAACTCAAGGTCTCTACAAGAGCAGCCAGTGCTCCTAACTGCTGAGTTCCAGCCCCTCATTCAACAAGTATTTATTCAGCATGTACTATATGCGACAGTGTACTACGCATGAGGACAGAGCAATGAAGATGAATAAAAATAAAGGTCTAGAATATATTAAGGCGCCATAATAGGCTATATTCTTCCTTGTCTTCAAAGGTTCTGAAAGGCGGCTTTGGTCACCAACAGGACCAGGACAGGTAGGAACATAAGGAAGCAGCGTGAATGGAAGACAGGAGGCAGACTCAAGGCAGATTTACTAATAGACTTGCCTAATTAAAAGTTCATATATGGATCCACATATGGTATACATGCCTACAGATCCAGCTACTCAAGAGGCCAAGGAAGGATGAGGTCAGGAATTTGGGACCAGCCTGGGAGACAGAGCTAAATTCCCCTTTCAAGACAAGGTTAGTGAATGAAGGCTGGAGATGTAGCACAGGAGCAGAGAGTTTAGAGCCAGGTGTGGTGGCATACTCCTGTAATCCCAGCACTTGGACATTGGAGACTGAAGAATGAGGAGTGGAGGATCAGGAACTCAAGGCCATCCTCAGCTACATAGCAAGCACAAGGGCAGCCTAGGCTTCAAGAGACCCTGTCTCATAAACAATAAAAAGGCTGCTTTTTAGCCTCTCAAATATGAAGAGCTTGCCTAGCATGCATGAGATCCTAGGTTTGATCTGTATCACTGCCCAAAAATATTTAGTGATGAAAATGAATAAGCAATTGACATTAGAATGAATTAAGGAGCTGGATGGTGGTGGCGCACGCCTTTAGTCCTAGCACTCAGGAGGCAGAGGCAGGCAAATCTCTGTGAGTTCAAGGCCAGCCTAGTCTACAAAGCTACATAGAGAAACCCTGTCTCGAAAACACAAAACAAAACAAAAAGATGAATTAAGGATAAGTTAAAATAAATCAATAGATTAAGCAAAGCCAGGTATGTCAGCATACACCTATAATCCCAGCACTGGGGAGGCTGAGGCAGGGTGACCAAAAGTTCAAGCCAGTGTGGGCTACACAGCAAGACCCTGTCTCAAAAGAAACACACACAAAAATTAAATAAGTAAGATTAGGTTAGAATTAGCAAACCGAAGAGACTTCTGCGAAAAACTCTTCAAATGACTATAAGAAAGCAGCATGTAATATTAGGCCTGGTTCAGTGTAGGTGTTCACTGGGAGATACATGAGTCAGATGGATAAAGGGAAGCAAGAGGTTGTGGGTGGATGGGTAGGTTGAGGGAGGTACCTTCTGAGCTTTAGTGAATTCCTTATCCAGGTAGGCGACCTTCTGTCGAAGACTGGCAAGTTCTGGTGCAGGGAAAGCAGGGAATCTCAGCCTCAGGCGGTAACAAGGAAGTGAAGGGTCATCTTATCAGGCTTCTAAAGGAAAATCTTTGCCTCTAATGCCCCAAAACCACCCATCTAATGAGACTCTCTTGGCTCACCAACACCATTCTTCCGAAGTTCATCTGAAAGCTGGTAGTTATTTGTCCGGAGTTCCAGGAGCTGAGTCTTTGGGAGAAGCCAAGAAACAAAAAGATTTATCAGGAAGGCATTCCTATCCCGCATGAGGCAGCCAAGCCCCTGACCTCTAAAGACTGGACTGGTACCCTAGGTGCTTCCTTAGTTACTCCACCTTGTCCATCCCCACACAGCCAGCCTCCCGCCCCATGGCCCCACTAATCCATTCCACACTTGGGCCACTGAAGGCTATTGGTATACCGAAGGGTACTGGAATAGTCCGGCTCCTGTTCATGTGTTCCTGTGACTCAGTACATGCGGGATGAAATCATCTTGGCTGATCTCTTTAACACCCTGAGCACTGTCCTGGCCAGGCCCAGGAAGCCCCACTGGCAGAAGGGCCTCCAAATTCTATCTCAAGGAAAGAGAATCTGGTCTTTCTCCTTCCCAACTTTCATGAGTCGAGGGGTATTCCTGACTCATAAGGGAAAATGCAGCATGGGTCACTTCAAACAGTACATGTATATCTTCCAGCCTTGTAGAGCCCTGAAGCCTATTCTTCCCAGAACTACCCATTGTCCCCACCCCTACTTTTATCTCCCTCTCAAAGTACCAGCCTCCACCTCTGTCACCACAATCGTTTGGTCCCAATCAGAAAGCCAGCTGGGTTATTACGGGATATTTCTTGCCCTGTTCTCCCCAGGTCTCAGATATCATCTCTCCTAGTCCTAGGCCAACTGGAATACCTTTCTACCCGATTTGAAGTTCCTCTCCAAAACAGCCCAATGATTGTTCCTCACACATGACCCAACTGGATAAATCTTCCTTGCTCAAGTATCTACCCACTCTTCACAAGATGCCTTCAGTCATGATTCAATAGGGGTGACACTATGTCCCTCCAGAGTCTCTCTCAAATACCCTTGGATGGGCCAGTTGAATTAATCTTAGAATTACTTTTATTCCCTCAAGAGTTCTGCCTCCAACCAGCAGAGCTGGAGAGTTTCCCCCATTTCAGTCTTTCCCACTAAGGCTCTCTCACAGTGTCCCTTCATTGTGCAATAGCATTCCCTCTCAGAGTGCTCCTGAAAGGAATCAACAGGTCTGAGTACCAGGTCAGACCACTCCCCCAAACCCAGTGATATTCCCCTCTCTGAAGTCCCAAAGTATTATTCATTCTTTCATATCTTCTGGTCGTTCCCCTGATATGAGTTAACTGTATTACCCACTCAGAATGTTCTTCACCTCAGATCTAATGGAATCACCCCAATCCATGCAATTATACACCTCCCTCTTAGGATTCTCTACCACCAATGGCACAGCAACTCTACGGAATAGATCCATGATCTTTCCCTACTCCCCTGATATAGTGGTATCTCCCACAAACTTTCCACCTCCCACCAGTTCATGGTCTTGCCCTGTCAAATCAACCCCCCCCCCCCGCCCCGCACGCACACACACACATATGACGCAAAAGGCCAGATGCCGGCTTCCTTTCTCTGCAGACAAAATCATTTCTCGTGAGGCTCTCCATCCTTCAAAGTCATCACCAGTTAATGGTATGCCCTACACATAAACCCGAAGGTCTCGCCCCCACTCTGGACTAAGAAAGGTATGGTCTACTTAATGACGTTCT